CGGGGGGCAGGGGGGGAACGGGCGCACATGTGGGGCACACTCGTGGGGGAGGGGAATGGGGGGGGTCTGGGCAAGCCCGGGTGGGTTATGGGGGTCACCCGGGCACCCCGGGGAGAAGGGGAGTCTGGGCAACCTCGGGAGGGAATGGGGGGTGTAGGGGCATCCCGGGTGGTGAGAGAGTACCTGGAGGGGGAGTTGGGGCGTATAGGGCAACCGCAGGGAGTTAGGGGGGTGTGGGGGACCCCCGGGGTATTGCCCTTCCCAGGGTGACCCCCTGCTGCAAGCTCAGCAGCGCTCAAGGCAGAGGGAGCCCCAGTCCCTGCTCAGCCCCCAGGAGAGTGGGGGTCCCCCCTGGGGCCACCCCAACCTCGTGTTACCTGCCACGAGGTGCTACATCTCCCGTTTGCAGATTTATTTCAATATTAATTAAATTTCACAGATTCAATTAGCCCAGGCGGGTGGCACTGCAGCTGGGGGGCGGGCGGGACCAAGCAGCCCCAAACCCTCCCCGAGATTCACAAACAAATAAATCACAAAGAACGACAAGAAATGAGTTTTTCTCCCCATTTTTTGGGAAGCCTTTCCTCCAAGCTGCCCCTGGGATCTGGGGGGGGAGCTGCTTTGGGGTGACACCCTTGACCACAGGGCTGGCCACGTGCCAGCAAATTTTTGGCGTCACCAGCCCCATGAGGCTGCAGCCAGTGATTAATGTGGGGTTTGCCGGCTCAGGAATGGGGAGCCCCCCGGCCCTGCCCTGGCCCCCCGGCTGTGGGGCGCTGTGGGGTGCTGTCAGGCACGGCTGGGCGGGCGTTAAGTGAGGCCTTTAATCAAGACGGATGCCAAACCAGCTGTGGTGGCTGGTGTCAGTGTCGGCTTCACCTCCCCACCGGGCTCCCGGCATCGCCCCGCCACCAGCTCCGGGGAGAAAGTCCTTTTTGGGGGGGTGAGGGGTGTTAATTTTTCACCCTGATGGGAGCAGCAGAATTGGGGGCGGCACGTCCCTGAGCAGGGCTCCCACGGTGCATCCTTGGTGCATCAGCAGGTGGGTGCAGAGGGCTCCCATGGAGAGGTCTTAGGGTGGTGGTCAGACACATCCTTCGGGGGCCGGGCGCGAGGGCCGGAGGAGCCCCGAGAGGCTGCTGGGAGCCCCCAAAGGAGGTGCTCGGGGTGGGAGGCTCCGCTCGCCCGGGGGGCTCTCCTGACACCCTCCGTGGCTGGGGGAGGCTCCAGTCTGGTGGGTGAGCTCAGCCCCGGCGTGGCAGGGCGGCTCCTTGGCGGGGGCGAAGGTTTTTCAGGCGAGTGTGGGTCGAGGTGGGGATGGAGGCGGATCCGGACAAGCCGGGGTGCTCAGCTGGGGACGGCTGCACCCACACTCTGAACCGGGTGGGCACCCCAGACCCCAGACGTGCGGGGCGGGCACAATGGCCACCACCCCAGCGTGGGGTGCCGGGGGAGGCAGAGGGGATCCCCGGCTGTGACCCCACCAGGCCATCCCCACTGGCTGTGCCACCTCCCTGCCTCCCTGGCCGGCCCCACCAGTGGCATGGGCTCAGGGTGACCTTCGGGGCCCAGCCCTGCCACAGCCCCCCGTGGCCATGGCAGTGTGGGGAGCAGCAGCCCCCAGCGCTTCCAGGTCTGTCCCAGCCTCTCCCCGCAGCCGCAGGGGCCGGTGAAACCCAGGAAAGGCATTTCCTTCCCTTCCCTTCCCACCCACGCCCCAAACGGCACTCGCGGGCAAGGAGGGTGAGGGAGGGCAGGCCGGGTGCCACGGTGATGGCCCAGGAGCTGGGGGGATGCACTGCACACCTGGATTTTGGGGTGTCCAGGCCCCTTGGGTACCCCGTGGTTCAAAGGGTCATGCTGGGGGTTCGCTCGTGGTCCCAGCTCGGCGGGGCAGGGGTGTCCAGCCTTCATCAGCCCCAAGTTTCACGGCATGGCACAGGCACAAAGCCACTCTCTGCACCTGTGTGTCTGCCACCGCCCTCTCCCGAGCACAGAGGGTTGCTGTCCCCAGCCTCACAGCAGCAAGCCTCGGGGACATCAGTGAGCCCATTGTGAGCTGACACCCCACCTGCCCCCCATTACAGGATGCTGATGGCTCCTGGGCTCCATCGCGGGGGCTGTGTCCATCACATGAGGGACTGGGGTGTCCCCAGGGCAGGCGAGCTGACCCCCAGCTCTGCAGTGAGGATGATGGAGCAGGAATGCACCGAGCACTGAGAGGGACAGTGCTGGGACCGAGCTGTACAGCAGACGCTGCTGTAGCAGCACCAAAGTGGCAGCAGAGGGCTTTGCCAATGGCTGCCCATCCCCCTGCTGTCCCTGTCCCCACACCTTGCTGGTCCCCGGGCTGAGCAGCATCGGGGAGTGGAGCCGGCTGACAACCAGCCTGGCCGAAACGAGAGCAGCCAAATGGTTTTGGCTCATCAGTTCCTGAACTGGTTTACCCACCAGACAGACAAACTGACGCTGGGGCCGGCCCGAGGGAGACAGCAGGAATGTGCCGCTGGGCTTGGGGCAGGATCGGGCCCTACAGTGCTGGCACAGGCTGACGCTGGGCTAATGGGGCTGTGAGCGCAGAGGAGGGGGCTGACCCAAACAGAGCAAGGAGCAGTGTCCACGGGGAAAGGCTTTCCTTGGCACCTTCCCCAATATCATTCCTCAGATCTCTGCCAAACTCTGATCGTCGGAGATTAAAATTCCACATGCAGAGAGCCTCAGCAGGGATGGGGAAGGCACCCCACGCTCGTTACACCCCTGCTAGCTCCACGGAGCACAGAAAAGGTTTAAAAAGCTGAGGGTGGCCTCGAGGGCAGAGCCTGGGTTTGTCGTGGGAGCTTTCTCTTAGAGCCCTCCTTGGGAAAGTCAGCACAGATGCACTAGAAACAGCCCTGAGGATGCGCTCAGCAGGCAGCTGAGGCAAGTCTTACCCAAGCAGCTACTTGGGGTCGGCCCAAAGGTCCCCCCCGCGCTCAGCATCCGCCTCTGCAATGGCCGGCAGCGACGGGCAGGGAAGGCTGCAAGAGGGAGAGCAGGGTGCGGCGGCATCTCTGCAGAGCGCTGCCAGGGGGAACACAGGGGCAGGGCTCTCCGACCACCGGCAGCCTCGGTGGTGGCCTGGGATGGAGATTCCCTCCCTGGAAGCGCCTGGTCGCTCCTGGAGCCCTGGCAAACTGTGGCACTGGCGATGCCCCGAGGGAAGTGGTTTTGCACCCTCCCCACGCAGCAGCGTGTGTTCGAGGAGCCTGCTCCTGCCTCTGGCTGAGCAGCATTTAACTTGATGTCCCCCCATTCCTGCACCAGCAGGAAGGATGAAGGGTCACCCACCTCCCCAGCAGGCAGGACCAGCCCTGGTCTGTGGCACTGTCCTTCTCCTGGATGACTGATTTGATTTGCCTGGTTTGACCACGTCAGCAGCCCCAGAGCTGGTTTGGTGCATGCCGAGACGCTTCGTGCTGAGCCCTGCTTCTCGAGAAGCACCTGCCATCTCTCCCCTTCCTGCTCCCTCTCCAAAGCCTTGATAAAGCCTGAAATTCAGAGTGAGATTTGGCCAGAATTTTTTTGCACTTTACCAAGTTATTCCAAAGAGTAGGTGGGTAAGAGAACAAGCAGATGGGGGGCAGAGCAGATGGAGGGGCTGGCATGGGTCACCAGTGCAGCAGCACACCCTGTTTCTGATTATTTATTCTGGAGAGGGGCTGCCGAGCACAGTGAAGGCAACGCATTTCCCTTCTCGCCAGGCTCCAGGCAGGTGAGAATAAGCCATTCCTGTTTCCTTGCAAGAGTCACTTCTGCATTGAGCAAGACCACTCCCAAAGCGACCGCCACACATGCTGCTGGGTGTGAATCCGGGAAGAAATTCTGCCTACCTGTGCAGGGTTGCACAAACAGCCACGGCAAGAGGTGGTGCTTTTCCACCTTCCTCCAAAGCACCAGCCACCCTCCACCTCGGAGGTATTCAGATATTATGGAGATAGACCATAATGAACTGTAATAACACACATAAATACCACAATCTGTCGGTCTGTCACCTTTAAATAACAAGGCTCCTTTCCCTTCCACCCTACACGCGCACTCAAGCATGGAAATAAAAATACTTCTGAGGTGAATGGCTGTCACGGAGGACGGCGAGGTTGAGAGCCCTCTCCCAGCAGCGCTGGGCAGGACCCCAGCGCGCCCGCCTGCCGGCTGGGGGTGCAGACGCTGCCCCGGGCCTCCCCAAACTGCAGGATGTGGGGTTTGGTTTGCTGGCAGCTCAGACACCGCCCGGGTTCGTTTTTGCAAGAGGCACACCAGGACCCGTGGGCAGTTCCCAGCGCAGGGCCACGCTGCGAGCGCCGGGGCTGGGGGTGTCAGTGTAGTCAGCGAGCCCCCCAGCTACCGCAGGTCTCTGCTGCCACTGAGCAGAGTGGGACCCCCTGCTTTGGGGTGCGGGGAGAGGGCTGTGGTGTGCAACCCTGACCACCGTGCTGGGAGGGAGAGCTGCTGGGGGCTCCCCATGGAGGGAGAACTAGCACAGCGACACCAAGTTCGATCAGAACAGCACTTAAAAAAATAATTTTAATGTTTTAATGTTTAAGATACACCATCTGTTTATTCCACAGCAGGAGCCCAGATCCGGAGTGAGCACAAAGGCTGGGAGCGGGCAGGGCAGGCGGCCCTGCTCAGCAGGCAAGCGTGGGGGGACAGGATCAGCGCTGCGTGGGCAGGGGGTGACTCCAGCCGGCTCGTCCCTGACCACACGTTTGCCCAAAGCCAAAGCTCAGGCTGACGCTGCTCAGGAGAGACAGAGGCTGTGTGCTCAGGGTGTGCACCCCCCCAGGCAGTGGCACAGCCCCGGAGGGATCCAGCGCTCACATTCTCCAACTGAAAGCTCCACAAGGAGGAAAGGCACAAACCTTTTGCCTCCGTGAATCCCACCACCCTTCCAAACCCCTTTTTCCCCTAGAAATTGCTGCCTCTCAGGCTCGAGAGCCTCATCTCTCAAGCACATCGGCAGCAAATCTCAAATTATTAAATGATTTCCCCCCACAGAGCCTGGAGAAAACAGGCAATCCCAGTAAGGAAGCAAAGGCTTTTTGAAACGCCCTCAGGTGCCACTGTCCATGGAAACACCGTGTGGATCCCAAAGATGCCCTTCCCAGTCACCGGGACACGCTGACAAGGCAAGGACAGTCAAGTTAAAGTGCATTGTATCACCCAGTCAGAGCAGGAGACGGAGACACCTTCAGAGTAATGGTACTGGGCCTGCAGGAAGAAAGGAACTCGTCCCAGGGAGCCTGGGCGCAGGGCTGGGCTTTGCACACCAGCCATGGGTACGGACCAGGGAGTAGGAAGCGGTGCAGGAAATAATCCTGGAAAAAATGCAGTTTCATTCTCTTATGGGGAAATCTAAACAGCCATTCAAATCAGGACCCTGTTGCTTCCAAAAGTAACTCTGAGCGCAGTCCCATGGAGTATTTACTCTTCGAGCACAGTTTACAGGTCGCTTTTAGAGCTCACTGTTGCTTGTGAATTAGTTCTGCTTTAACTGTGCAAAGAACTACTTTTCTCACTTTGAGCCCCTGTCAGGAGGCATCTGGAAAGACACTATGTAGCTGGAAATCCAACTCTACCAGGTGAGCCCTTTCCAAAGGAGCTTTTTAAAACCACCTCATCCCAATGGAGAGTAGCCAATATTCACACACCCTTCTGCAGGAGAGAACAATTTTTCCAGTCTGGCATCCATTGCCAGCAATGGACACAGGGAGTTTGGTCAAATCAGTCTGAAAGTAACCTGGGAAGTGTAGGAATACTGGAAGCACTTGTAAACATCACTGCAGTGCACCGCCGGGACATTCTGCTTCAGCTCCCTGTGGCGTCTCCTCCAGACACTGTGGAGCAGCACTGATTCAACATGGCTTGGGAATTAAATATTAAATCCAGTTTGCAGGCGCCCTGCTGTCAGCACTGCTCAGAAGGTGCTCTCGAGCAGGCAGTGGCATCCACAGCCCGTGGGACACACCTCCTGGGTGCGAAACCACTCCATCATATGGCTGGTGTGGCCTCCATGTCCGCAAGTCAGGCAGAAATTAGAGGAGCCCCGCACTGCCACATGGCAGATGGCACACTGGAAGGTGAAGCCCTTGCAGATGGCACACTGGGTACCACGCACCTCGCTGCGGCAGTGGCTGCAGTACACACCGAACTCTGGCCGGGGGAAATAAATGGAGAGCAAGACAATTAGTGCTGGCAGAATCATGGACAGAGAAGCCCTGCACAGAGCCCCCCCTTTGACAGATGAGTCCCCCGAACCCATGGCCCAAGGGATCTGCCTCAAACTTCCTTCAGGGTAGGAAAACTGTATCTTTTAGGGGTCTCAGTTTGGTCTCCATATAGAAGCAAAGAAATGGGGAATTGGTGTGCCAGGGCACACACTGGCCCACCGATCCCCAGAGGGCCGAATAGCTGGGAATATGTGTCAGGTTTCTACCTTGGGACATGCTGACGCACGCTGTGGAGATGAAGGCTTCCCGCTGGTCTCATCTGCCTCACATCACTGCAAAGTGTAACTAAGCAATCAAGAACAGCCTTTGTCTCTCATCACAGAGACCACAGAGTGCACTCTGTCAGCCAAGGAGGGGCAATGGCAGTGGTTGAAGTCACCAATTCTGACTCCAGCTACTCCCCAGGAGGAGTCCCTGGTGACAAGGTGGGACAACCACCGCTTCTCTGGCATCTCTCACCTGCTTCTCTCCTCAAGTGCATTTTTTCCCAGAGGCCTAGGAAGATGACATTTTGGCAGCTATTCTGAAGTGGCAGTTCTGGGCACCTACACTGCTGAAAATATTTTGGAGAAACGTTCTATTTGCCTATTTCTCGGCTAGCTCATCAACAGTTAGAGACCTTGCAGTTTTACGTATGCACTATAAGGACACTTCAGCCCAGAATCAGAGATTAGAACAGGGAATAAAGAATAGCCATCAGCATAAACAGCTGAACATTGCTAGCGTAGCAGTATGTGTGTTTCCAGCTTTGCTGGAGAGATGTTGCAGTCTACAAAGCCCTTGAACTAACATCTGCAAGCCTCATCTCCACCCAGGGCTGCAAAGCAGCCAAACCCCTCTGCTGGCAGAGCTAACCCCTGGGCCGACTGATGGGAGCTTTTCATCCCGCCGGCTGCTTGTATGTTCCTAAGGCAGAGCTGGATGGTTGGACCAGATGATCTTCAAGGTCTTTTCCAACCTAGATGATTCTGTGACTCTGCCTGGGCAGCCGGAGCAGACACTCACCAATGCCTTTGTGGGGATCAGGAGGACAAGAGACAAACTTCAGAACCTCAGCCCGCTTCTCACGCAGGCCCCAGCGATAAAGGATTTCCCCATAGCACTTCTTAAAATCATCAAATTGCTGAGTGTTGGCAGGATCCAGGAGCCTAGAGGAACAAGAGGGTTGTCATCCACCTGACTGACTCTCAGAGACTCTGGTTGCAATCCTCTTCCCAGCAACAGCTACACAATCAGCTCACATGGCCAGAAGAGCAGCGGATTGCTTTCCACGTGTTGCTGAAACATGGCTGAATGCTAACTGCTCTGGCATTCACTTGTTCTAACACTCAAGGGTGTAGACTCAACGGGTGGACTGCCCTCTGGGCACCTGCCATGGCCACTTATAGATATATCATATGCAGTCCCAGCAGGGCTCATCTGCAGCATGAAGCTTCTCCAAATGCCCATCTGAATGAAAAGGTCTAGGACCACATGTGGTACTTCACAGCATGAACAGAGACCTGGCTGTAGAGTTCCAGCTGACTTGGGCACAGAGAAACGCATCTCTCAGTGTCCTCAAGGCATGCTATAACCTACCTTTTGTTTTTCTCATGCTGGTCTTTCTCACGCTCCCGATGATCGGGATACATTAGGTTTCCGTAGCGGAAGTCATCTGGAGAAGACTCACACCAGGGAGTGGAGGCCTGCTCTGCATCTTTGTTCGCTGCAAGCATCAAAAGGTTGTGAGCACACCTCAGAAAGCACAGCCTCATCAAAACCACAGAAGGAGATGTGAAAGGCCATACATCCGCCCACCACAGTTTCCTCTCTAAGACACGGTTGTATCACTTTCTGCCCCGCCTCAGAAAGCTAAGTGCCATCCTCTACTTGCCAAATGCTTCTACTGCACTTCTGGTGACAGGATTAGAATGAGGATCATCAGGCAGAGAAATCTAATCCGGAGAAATCCGTTTTGCATTCCACTTTAGACAAAAAGTAACCAGGCAACCAATCCCATGGAGTTTCCTTGGGAATGTTATTCCCAGCAGGCCTGGGCTCTTCTTTCCTAGACAGGGAGGTCTCTCATCACCAGGGCTGATGTTATGTAAAGGGGCCTCTGTATGTAGGGCATTGCCCTGGGGCAGGGAGAAGACTGCTATTAACCATTACATCAGCTCAGCTAACCTGCATTCTCCACTCTTCCTCATGTGACAGACAACTTGGTATCACACTGAAAAGGCACAGCTTTGGTGCTAACAGGGCAGATGCTGCCCCAGGCCACACACATCACTAGGAATCAGCCAACAGCTTCAAACTGGACACGAACCCTTAAGAGTGACTTGTCTTTGACACCTTTGCAGCTCAACAGAAAAAGTCCTTAGGCCTGTGGTCATGCATGGCACCAAGAACCCAGCCTTCCCAACTGCAGCTGTTTTTCCAGTGACAGGAGAAAGCACAGCATTTCTTCTTCCCCCAAAGCCCTGTGGAATTAGCTGGCTGATGACACTGTGAGGCCACTCTTGATAACTGTTGAATGATTTTGGTGATTGGAAGAGGTGTCTGAGGACTGGAGGAAAGCAAGTGTCACTCCTGTCTTCACAAAGGACAAGGAGAAGGACCTAGGGAACTGCAGGCCATACAGCCCGACCTTGATCCCTGGCAGCTAATCATAGGAAAACATGCCCAGGCACATGAAGGATAAGGAAATTACCAGGAGTCGTTGGCATGGATAACAGCTTCCAACTGTGCAAAGCGCTGGGGCTGTGGAAAGCTTATGGCACCAGGCAAGCACCCTGAGTGCTTGCTGCAGCCAGGCTGGAAGCAACACAGTACAAACTGGTCTGTCTCTTCACCTGTGTCCAACTGGAAAAGGCAGCAGTGGGAGCTCTTGGCTCTGGGTTAACCTGCAATCCAGGGGCCTAGCTTGCTACATCTAGGGTGTTTGTAAGAGTTTCTCCCAGTTGCACACATGGTACAGAAATCAGAAGGGGAAAGACTGCAGGAACGTTGACATGGTTACTGCAAGCCCGGCTCGCTTCCAGCCACAGAGTCACAACACATTGGCCAAACCCCAGAAAGCTGCTCTGGCAGAGCACATCTGCAGTCATAGCCAGTACTAACTCCCTTCTTTCCCCACCACAGGAGCCATCTAAAACCTAGGCCAGAAGGGAGGCAGATTCCTCTATTTACTACCCAGGTCTCAGTACCTATGCTCCAGCCTCCGGTGCCAAGTCCAGGATCTGACATGCTGGAACAGGAGCCAGAGGAAGTAAAGCTGGGCTGTTGATGGGGAAAGGAAATCATGTCACCTACATGAGAGATGTTCAAAGATATGCAAGGTAAATGGGAAAGAAATGGCAATCATACGTATCGGCTGTGGGAGGCCAAGTTGGAGGCACGCTGAGGAAAGGGGCCATAGGAGTTTGGGCACCCCTGTAGCCTGGATTGGGCTTCAAACACACTGCACAGCATAGCCAGGGTCTGCACATCATGGAGCTGCGAGTAATGAGCCAGCCTGGGAAATGAAAAGACAGACAGTACGAGACTGGGCAGAATTCAGTGGCAAAAGCATCGAGACTCCAGGGCAACTAATTTTGAACCTGTTGCATAAATCAATTTGGGTCACATTACGCCCACAGGAGGCATGTGCGCTCTGCGGGACCAGGTTGTCTTTTCTGTCATGCCTTTGAGAAGCTAAGTCCTCCTCCTGAAAACAGTCATGGCCTAACAGGTGGGAAAAAGATGGGAGCTCTGGAAACACTTCACTACTTGTGGCCTGATTATCCCAAGTTTGTGCAGCTTCAGGAACAACATCACAGAACTGATTTTAAGCGGATGTAAAGCTGAAGCCATTAGACTCACCCCAAAAATGTCTTTTTGACAAAACCCTCTATGTGCAAGCATCCCACATCTAGATCACAAGGCAAAACCCCACCACAGGCTTTCTCGATGGCTGTGAAGTTTCTGGTTTGCTCTAAAGACTGAGAGCAACGAAGAACAACCTGCACTCCACTCCTATTGCTGCCATAACAGCAGGAAAAGAGCTAGGTCAAGCAACAGCATGCAAAGTACACCACACAAATCCTGTGTCTCCAAACAAGGTATATCGACAGATAATATCAATTACTAATTTTGTCCCCTCCTGGACAGATTCACTGGCAGGAAGATAACTGCAGCTAACACTTTTGAGACCAGTGGAATGATTTCCCAGTAATTCTATATGGCAACAGCAAATTTGAAGGTGAAAAAAAGCAGCTGCACTAACACGTTTATTTAAGAGGTGGGGAGCAGAAACCCAAAGTCTCCAATCAGGCATTGTGGGCACGCTGGAAAGCAGAGCTCCAACTGCCCCTGGTCTATTGCTCAACGTTGGCCAAGGAGACCTGGATGCTAGATGGGAGGCCAAACGCCACCTTCTGTATGTCTTAAACACACTTGCAGCTTCCTTTCTTGATGCATCTCAGGCTTGAGTGGGTAAAAAACCTACACGCTGGGGCACTACTCCAAACGTGAAATGATGCCTTACAACTTACATAGTTATCGAGGGCTACACTTCAGCAACCATTCCCCAACCCCTCCCTGGCATTCAGACACCTACAAGGACTCCAGTAATTGACGTCCAAATGGATGTTGTGCCCAAGGTATCTCCAAATCTGGGTCAGACTTTGGTCCAAGGCAGAGATCGGTGGCTACCATGGCCAGTGACCAAACCTGGCAGACAGGAAGGAAAAGCATCAAAGCTACAATTAGAAATCACCACACTCCCAGGGCATAGGTGTGCACAAATTCACTCACAGATAATAATGGAGCTTGCCTTCCCCCCCCCCCGGCAGCAGGGAACAGTTTCAGCCTCTGTGTCACAGATAATATACAGATTAACACAAACCTGTCCCACTTGCTTTGAGTTTGGGTTAAACTTTGAAGAATAGTCTAACAGACCTGTCAGGATAGCTTAACTGACCTATTAGTGCATTTTATATTCGCAAACTTCCAACAGGTTTGATAAAGTTCTTGGGTTCGGAGATGTCTGCTGGCAGAAAGTTTACTGGTGAATCATCATTTTCATGAAAAGTATCTTTTGATTAGCTGTGAGTGTTACTGAACAGCTCTGTTCTCCTACCACAGCCCAGTGCAGACAAGAGTACAGTTTGCCATTTCTACTCCAACAGTTTAACTATCTCACATGAAATTTTCCTCTATTTACCATGGTCCCATCTTCTCAGTCTCTGTACCACTGCTCTGGAACTCTTTTTCTGCTGTGCCTTTTAAAATAGGGCAATTTTAGAATACTCCAGAGAAAAGTAAAAATCCTAGTTTGGCATGAAAAAAAGGGCAGGGAAGGAAAAGGAGCATGGTGCTGGAAAACCAGCAGAAATCAGAGAGCTCATAACATGGAAAAGTAAAGAAAAAACATGTGCTCCAAATACAAAGAGCAGCTAGGAACAGTAGTCCCACAGCTGCTTGATGTGAAACCAGAGAGAAAGAAACAGGAGAGAAACTGATATGAGGACAAGGCTGAGTACAAGAGAGCACAGAAAGGAAATGGGAAAGATGCCACTTCCTACACTGCTATAAAGCACATCCTAAGTGAAACCTGCAACTCAAGCCTCCATGCCTGCCAGGAACAAGGCAAGCTGCAGTACAGGCTGGAGTTACACAGGACAGGGGAAAACAAGCAAGAAAAAGGTATCTCAGAGAAATCTTGCTGAAGCTATTCCACCCAAGCTCTGGCCCAGTGTGGGTAAACCAGACAGCAAGATGAAGCACAGACAAAGGGGAACTAGACCTACCTTCTCTCCCCTGGTCTAGCAGAACTCACCAAGAAGCAAGACAACAGCTTGAGTTTGCTTCTGCTCAGATCAGGTAAGCCTATGTGTGTTCTCTGCCCAGGTCTAGGAAAAGCCAAATGCTCAGGAGAGGTGCACAGGCTCCTCTGGCATTGCTAGCCCACTCCCATCTCTTTCAGGCACTCCAGAGTCCTGTCAAATATTCTGCTTGTTGCAATGGACTGACCAAATGGAAAAGGATGGGCCACAATAGCCATTTTTCTCCTATTATTAGCTGAAGGCAAGTAGCCAGCCCCATTCTGGAGCTGGGTCCCTGGGCTCAGACTCTTGGGGAGAAGCTAGCTGCAGTTAGCTCCCAGTGCCAGCACAGATGAATACCAAATGGGGACGATTACGTAAGTAAGAAAAAATCACCCATCAAAATGCTGACAGCAGCTAGGCAACTCTGTGCACAGTTACTCCATTTGCTGACTCAAAAGCAGGCTGTGTTCCTCATTTTGCCTGCAGGAATTCCCTGAAAAATGTGCTTCACTCAGTTTGGCAAAGGGCATAACACAATCTGCTTGCAGCCCTGGGAAGGGATCTCTGGATGCCAAGAGTCAGCAAGGCTGTTCCTCAGGCTCCTATGTGGCTGTTCCACAGGCCTTGGTTCACCAGAGACTCCCTGGAACAACTGCTGAACCCAGGTGGCTGTTTGGGTATCCAGGTGACAGCACAGGCCATTGGAGCGTGGCACAGCACATTGAGGAAGAGGCCCGATTCAACGTCATACCTGTACAAGATCCCTCCGTCCCACAGCCAAGGCTGAGGCAGCATTCTTCTGGCAAGTTTCCTGGATATTATTCACATTCAGTCTAAAAAGAAAGGAGATAGCTCAGCTCTAATTGGCACGTTACCTGTGAAGGTGGGGAGGGATGGGGGGAAAGTGGTACTGGCAGCAGTGAGCAGCCCAGAGCTTCCTGATCAATACGAGCCTGCTAGCACAGTTAGGATCCCATCCCTTCCTTCTGTGTTATTCAGGGATCCCTGCCATCCTTCTCCCACTATTCACCTTCACTAACACATCACACATCAAGTCCAGCTCCAAACTAGCTGAGATTGATTTTAAACAGCACCATTTGCAAGGAGGTATCAGACTAAACTTGTGCCAGGGTATCGCCAAGCCAAGATGCATTCTTGTCCCTAGAAGCTGGTGCCAGCAGTTAGGTGTCCTGTTTCCATTCAGCCTGTTGGTCTGCTCTGCCTGACTGGGAGGGACGCAGTGGTATGCCGTGGAGAAGCAGGCTGGTCTTCAGCCTGTTCCCCAGTGGGATAACGCACCCACTGGAGGGTCTCCGAGAGGCTGGCAAGGCAGGCTGAGGAAACCCACATAGGCTTTCCTGCTTATCATCATAAATCTTCCTGAGACAACTGATATTTTTACCACTTAAGATGTTACAGCAAACAGAAAACAGTCTATGTCCATACACTGGAAATTCTGTGAAAGACCAGACAGTATTACCAAAGCTGAGGAAGCAAAAATTCAGTAACAGAGATTTTGTAACTGTCTGAATTAGACAGTTTGGAAAAAGAAGTTCCTTGTTTAAAAAAAAAACCCCAAACAAACAGAACTTCTCCATCCTTTCCATAAAAGCAGAAGAACTTGCTATACAGTCACTGTCACGTACAACCAAGTCTCCAAGTGAATCGGGCACTCCAAACACTTCTGAAATTAAAAAGCCTTAGGAGCTAATAACAGTGTTATAGTATTACAGTGGGCATTTATTGGGATTTTTAAGCCTGTGTGTTTAAGTGCGGAGTTTAACAAGACATTTGAAAAAGAATTGGTACTGGTAATTTATCTCTTTAGCTGATGAAAACCTGAACCTGCAGTGGTGATGCTGGAGCACTGGTTCAAACTCTGTGTACAATACCCCATCACAAACTTCTTCTATCACACTTTTCAGATTTACAGGAGACAAGTCCCCTCTCACAGGCAGAGAGGGATACCATAAAAAAGCAGCAAGGCAAGAACAGAGGAAGAAGATAAGGAAACATTCAAAGATCAGTGTTGACTGATTCAAAATTAAAATATAGCAGTGCCAAAAGACAGCTGCTTTCATTTGGGAAAGGATGCCAGCTCGTACTCACATGTAGAGCTCTCCCAGCAGCTTGTGGACAGGCAGCAAGCAGGAAATATCTTGGATAATAACTTTCCCAGCAGCTTTGATGGGTCGGTTGTTGGCATCTGTCCCTTCTCGTTTGCTTTTCCACCTCCTTGATTTCTGAGAACAAATGGCACCGTGTTACTGGGAAGAGGACATGAGGCTTCTTGGGCCAGGGAACAAAGCACTAGGGTCAGGAATAATGCAAGCAGCACCCAAACCTGCCTTTCAGAAGGCTCTGTGTTACCCTGGAAAACATCCATGACATGCCCAGGAGAACAAGCATCTCCATCTGTAGGAAGTGAAAAGCAGGTCAAGGCAGCGAGCTCAAGGTCAAACTCACTCAAAAAGTATTTTGTGAGTTCCCCTGTGAAAGCCAATAAGAGAATAAATCAGCATTGGGATGCCAATCAAGCCGGGGCAGGTTTGGCAAGGAGGATTGTTCAATTATCATCCTCATTAGAGGTCTGGCCTGGGAACCCTCTGCACAGACCACTGCTGACTTCAGCCAACATCAGCACAGAGACATGTGGGAGGCAGCTTCTGCTTGCCCTTAGCTTCAGGGCAAGCTGACAGCTCCAAACTGTCTCTTTTGGGTCTCCTCTTCCAGTGTTTGAGTACGCCCCTGTTTAGTGCCAGGACAGGGCTCCCACCTCCTGCTTTACCAACAGCTTCAAACAAACATTGGCAGATGATAAAGCAGGGCCCAAGTTTTCCTAGCAAGGATCTTTAGCTACCATGCTCACAGCTACTTACAGCTGGCTCAGGACATAAGGCAGGGGGGGAGAAGAAAGGAGCAGAATCAACACAAGGGGACAAAATCAAGAAGCCGAGATGATTCCCAAATACTCCCAGTAATAGGCACAGAGGCTGTCTTAATGCCAAGCTGCGTAAAGCTACCTTGGCTGTATGAAACACCGTACAGTATTTGGCTGGTATCCCGGTCTCTTCCAGCTCCTGGCTCTAGGAGGGTGAGGAGGAGGGATGAGAGGATGTGCGGCAGCACGGCAGGCAGAAGGCACTGGAGCTCTACCGAGGAAGCACCGGCGGCTACGCAGGGTTCCCAATGCAGTGAAGGATGCTTTGCAATGCTGCTCCCCTGTGGCGTGTGCCCTCACTGACACACGGAGTCCACGCTCCTGCGCAGAAGTGTCTCCTGGTCATACTGAATTATGGAGTCTCCTCAGGCACTTGGGGGGGGGCTTCCTACACCCCTATCTGAAGCAGAACGGTACCTTGGAAGGGGCCAGCAAAGCAGCCTTGTGCTGATGGCTCCGCAGGGCAGGCAGAGCTCGCACAGGCAACACACCGGCGCTCCTAAAGAGCAGGCTGAGCTATGGGAAGGGCAGGACTTGGACCTGCAAGCGGGGTCCCTTCTGCTGTGGATGTCAGACCAGCTCTGGGATGGCTGGGTGCCAAACTGCCTTTGGCCGTGACCACGCACGCAATCCTATGAGAACCTGAGCAGGCTTCTCACGGACACAAAATGCCCATAAAAAACCCTAAGAACCTTAAGAAATCAATTCCTTCTTCACTGCCTGCCTGGCCCAAGCTTAGGCCCGTGTGCTGAGGAGGTCTTGCCACGCTGAGCATACTGCTAGCACATGCCACAGGAAGTAAAATGGATGTGCTCCTGAAGCCACTGTGGACATGGGGTGATCAAGGCTCAGAGGCTCAAGCATAGACCTGACACTAAGTGCAGGAGATGTTCCAGACTTGGAGGAGGTGAAGGTAGATTTTTTCCAAGGATGCCCAAGTGACAGAGCATCACCACAGGTCCCCTGATTTTCCATTGCTCCCCAGAGTAAAGAGGAACAGAGCGTGCATGCTGTCCAGCACTGAGGTGCCAAACGCTGGTGGGAACAAGGCTGTCAGTATTCAGTGCTTTGGAAAAGCTGGCTGACTAGGGCATGATCCTGTTCTCTGCCATGTCCCCTCAAGTCCTAATCTATTCAAGCAGAATTTGCCTGCAGTATTTATCTGCTACATAACTCTGAAGCCGAGAAGCATTACGCAGAGGAATGTGGCTAGAAGGTGGTTGGGCAGGAGACTGAACTCTCTTCAGTCCACAAGTACCTAATCAAGGCAGTGTCTGGATCAGCTCTGGCTCTCTTGCTGTCAGGCAGACTGTACCTCTTTTGGTAACACCTAAAATGTAACTACCCTTCCGTGCTGAAGGATGTGCGCAGCAAGGAGCTGCTGATGCTGCCAAAACCAATACTTGAGCAAAGCTTGGGAGCCCCAGCACAATGCCATGCCATTGGTGCAAGAGCTCAGGCACTGTCCTGGAAGAGCTGCCAGGCTTTCCCCAACAAAAGCTGTTGTTTGTGCTGTGTCTGAGCAGGTATTTGAACCCAGGCTTACAGATGCAGAACCATATTCTGCTGGTCTATCATCATGGGCTTCTAAGAGCTTGGCAGGTAATTTGGAGAGCAACTTGTCACCTCCTGACCATCTGTAATCCAGCTGCCCCCAGGTCTCATGGCAGATGGAGAGTTCCCCTCTGACCGAAGCAGGTTCACTGCCCCGTCATCAGGAACAGATTCAAGCTGCTCCTGCCCTCTGCAAAAGCGGACTGAAGAAGCCTCCCAACAGGCATTTCAAAGACTAGAAACATGGACAACACATATCACTTTCCACAGGTAATTCAGTCACTTTTTTCTTTGGAAGAAAATGACAACAAATGAGGATGAGAATGGACAAGAGATCCCATGAATGGTTTCCACTGCTTGCTGTTAGGATATCACCAGACAAATGAAGACACTAAATGTATCAGAAACCCCTGAAAACTTGGACTCGCAACAAAATCATCCTGTTTTCTTCCTCTTCACACTGCCTATTTTCTGGCAAAAAGGGAAGCCCTAATTCTTTACTGGTGCAGCTCCTGGAGTAGAGTCAGTGGATGGCCACATGCCCTGCCAGTACTACACTTTCATGACCACTACTTCCTGCCCCTCAAGCTGTGACAGAAGAAAAATCATAAAGCCACATGCAGAGTCACCATTAAAAACTTCCTGGTTTTTGCAATTAGGTTTGCCTCAGCTACAGCAACAAAGTGTTAGAAAAAACTACAATCAGAAGTATGGGAACCATTATGGATGAGATAAAGCCCATCACCATTGACAGCAGAAGCTCTACTTTGAGCCAAATAACTGCTAGTGTTTGTTACGGGAGTAGCTCTCCATCAGTCAGTATTTGAGCTCTATTAACAGGGATTACCAGAGACAAGGAGAGCTTTAGCTTGGGTCCGTCTTGTCAAGGTCCAACACAAAGTTCCTCTCTCCCTTCTCCTTCACCTCTTCTCCCAGGACAAGCTCACTCTATGGTATTATCAAAAGCTGTCACCAAGGCCCACGGGCATTAGGGTAGAACAGAAGGTAAGTCTCTTCCTAGGGGCTGGAGCACAGGTCATAAGGGGGAGCAGGGAACGTAACGGTTGGAGCTGAAGCAGAAATCAACATGCATGCACCAAGCTAATTGTTGACAGCTGAAGGTCAAAGACACAGGTCTTCTGTACTGCCCCCAACATTTCTAGCTCTTTCTACAGCCTAGAATCCATGCCAAGGAGAACTGCATCTACCCAGCTGCTCCTGAGAGTTTAAGGAGAGGAAGAAAAGAAAGAAAATAGCAACAGTGATAGTAAATTAAGACTCATCAGTTCCTCAGAGCACCAGAAGGAAAGAAACCAGAGCATTTATGACAATCGTGGGGTTGGAGGTGACAGTGGGGAATAGCACTGAATAATGACTGAAAAAGCCAGCCTGCACCTTCCCTACCATACCCAAGCCTGTAATTTGCCGCAATCTGAGGTGATAATGATGGCAGTAAATGGGTTACATGTAGAAACAGATAGCCCAAGAATAAGCCACCAACTGCTTCGTAGCAACCACCATCATCACTGCATACTCAGCAGAAGTAGTTACAAAATGCTGCATGCCTGCTCAGAAAGGATGCTGAACAGTTGGGTGTGTGTGCGTGTCTTTGGATCCTGTTGAGGCAGGCAGTGCTTTAAGTAGCATCATGAAACGTAAAGTGTCGGTTTCGCATAAGCATATGCAAAATTTCAAGGTTCATGGTATAAACTTGTGTTAGTAGGGCAAAGTGAAAGTTTGAGGACAGAAGGGAACAGACTTGATGCTGAACATTAAGCTGCAATAAGGCATTTACAAAATAAAGAGTTAAACCTGCTCAAAGTCAGGTTCAAGCTGCATCTAATATTATTTTTTAAAAATAAAATCTTAAAATTGCTGCCTCCCTGAGGAAGGCTATGCTGCCTACAGATAAACTCCCCCATGTCGGTCATGCAGCACTGCCTGGATTTTCTCTTCAAAATAACCAACATTTACTATTTCCAGCATCTCCCACAGTAGCAAGCACTTTCCACAAAGGGACTAAAAAATCCGAGGCACTTTTGAATCAAGTGCCCCAGAGCAAGAATATTTCTTTATAGCTTCCACCAATTAATAGCTGGCACCTGCCCTCAGCAGAGGCATTTCTGAAGTGGAGGCTAGTCATTACCTAGAAAGAGGGATGAATAATTCCTTCTTCTAGACTTGCTAAACTCTTGCTTCCCTGAGCACCTTCAGCAATGCTGAGCTCTACTTCCAAAAGGAAGGCACTGGATCTGCACAAATAATCCACATCTCTCTTGGTGCATGCCTGCGTCTTCGCCTTGGGCACTGTTGCCCACTTTAGAGAGGTGATTAGCCTCTTCCAAAGGTTATCCACAAATACAATAAATCCTTCAAGGCCTGGACGAAGGAATGTATAATTTTTAAGCATACGCTACACAAAACTATAACTTTATCACATCACTGTTTGCTCTTCCTTCCAAGCCAGTGGTAAGGGAATTAAACTGTGGCCCTTTGTGCGCCACAACTTACCACACCACAAGCTGGCAAATTCCTTGCTTGGTTTTCTTTCTTAGTCTGTTCCTGATCCAAGACAGAACTTCATTTCTTGCTTCCACTGCTCACATTTCTTTATTAGCTCTTTGCAAAAAGCCTTAATGGAGTCAAGTAAATTACTTCTGGTTTCTTTCACCTATTATTTGCTAGTATAGTCTTAGAGCTGTTGTAATTAGGAAGGCTTGATCCTATTACACCAAGTCAAATTAGGTGTTACGGATTCTCTTTTATTCCCTGATGTCTTACGAAGAGATAGCATGAAGGACAGCGGCTGTGAAAAACCAGTTGCTCACAGAGACATTAAGAAAAACGGACCTAAAGAGATCATCTTTAAATTGGAATGGAGTTTTCTAAGCTTTGCCTATGCTTGGCAGATGAGTGATGAGACAGTAATTGCCCAAATTTACAGCACAGCTTGAGCAACGCTGATATCATCAAGACAATCACATGAATAATGTTCAAGCTTGAGGAACACGTGGACCTGACTAACAGAAAACGACCGTCAAAGCAGTCTTGGAAGGGCAGGTGCCAGGAGGAGGGAGTACCTGCCAGGGTGCCTGGAAATGCAACCACTCAAACTCAGTGCAGGGTGGTGCGATTCCAAGGGCTGCGAGAAGATCACAAATTAAGGAGAAATTCTATTTATTGCTCCAGGAAGTAAGATCTCATGGTGCATTGCACTGAGAATAGGCAGCTCATTTTAATGAGATGACAGATCGTTGTGAGCAACTCAACCAGTTTGCTTCTTCCACAGCTCTTAAGTGATCCTCCCTCTCCAGCAAGGCTTCATCATTCTCAGAAATGAGGTGCTCTAATGTCAGTCTCATCAGTTGGCTGGTGATGCATAATAATCATTCAAGCTCCTCTACAGTGCACTCTGTTTCTTAGAGGTTGATTCTTTCTTACACTTCAAACTACCCCTTGGCATCCTTCCCTGACTGCTAGACCAGGGAAATTAGGCATGTTGTGGGTCAGTATTTGTACCCCACAAGCTTGTGTCTGCTCCTGTCCACTTGCACGTGCATTCACTCTTACTGGAGAAGGCCCTGTGTAGAGTGCAAGTCCCCCACCTCTGTGCAGGTTACTCAAAGGCAGGCAGGTGGCATTTTATTCTTGGGCCCTTGGGCAGAAGACAGGGTTATATCAAGGACAGTATTAGCACAGCGCACAGTACCGGGAAGTCGTTAATTGCTTGTATGGACCAACGTCGCCGGGCAGAGCGAGGAGACATCTGTATGTGAAAACATTATACCCAGGAAAAGGGAAGAAAGACACCAAAAAATTAAAGACAAAGGTAAATAAACTGAAATGAAAACTGCCCTGAACCAGCAGAGTAAAAGATACTGTTCCCAATGGTTCTGTTACACAACGAACAGTTGCAAACCATGATCCCCACTTTCATCCACACACCATTGTACTACACATTACCTACAGCCCCGCCAAGGCAAAGGCTGCTGTGTCTGTGCCCCACACCAGCCGCTGTGGAAGACTTCGGCAACCATAAATCTGAATAAAGTCTTCCACATGGAGCTGTATTACTGCAAGAACCGCTGAACTGCTTCATGTGACCTTGTTCGTATCATGAATTGACAGCAGAGCAGAGGACAACACCCAGGATCCCCACATGCCAAGCTCCTACTCTAATTACTTTACTCCTCTTGGCTGAAGAGGAAGGCAGCTAAGTGCAAACTGCATCATTTTTAACACAGCTGTCCAGCACCATGGCACAGAAATCTGCAGGAAACTAAATAAACACTCCTGCTTACTCAGATACCCCTTTAACATCCAGCATCCTCCAGGACTTAATTCACTGGAACCAGTTGTAACTGTTCACTTTCATTTTAAACAATAAAAGTCACATGTCAGGATATTAGAAGGGATGTAGAGACCCTGCTACTTGGCAGGGCCATGTGGAAATTGTCATTATGGGTTGAGGAACTCATTCAGGTTGAGGGAGCAATCAAATTCACCGATTGGCTATGCAGAATAGCTCCATTACAAGCCTGCAGACGCTTCATTAAGTACTCAATGCAGTATTATAGCAACAATAAATGGAATCTCTCAAAGCACATTACTGTGACCTCACTTGAAAAAAAAATTCTGTTCTAGTTCTGTATGAGACAACACCACAAAAGCAGTTATTTGCATCGTGTGCAATGTATTTTACATTGATTTCTAGCTGATGATAGGCAGTCAGGCCCATCAGCCTCTACCTTCCCTCCCACCTCACTGCTGGGAGAACCCTGCAGCCAGGGAGGAGAGGCTGGCTGCAGGGCCCCACAGAAAGAGAGAGAAGACCGCAGCCTTGTGCTACGGGTTTCTCCAGCAGGCCTCACAAGAGGAGGAGAAAAGGGTTAGGTGAAGGAAATTCAGTATAGTAGATAAGCAAAACTAAGCTCAGTCACCCCCCACCCCCAAAAGTCCTGCTCTCCTGTAGGCAGCCACTGCTGCCAGCCTACACTCCTATGTGCTCAGAGAGTGAGGGGGCTGCAACCTGGTGGGCACCAGGCAAAGCCCGAGGGATGTTCTGAAACCAGCAGTTTCCAAGCTCTGCCAAATTCCCCAATGGGAAGTGTAAGGACACCGCTGTCACCACCCCTGTGTACAGCTGTCCCTCAGGCAAGGCTGAGCTGTCCCCAGGTCCCCACTGGCATGATGGTCTGACTGGAGGGAGAAAAACACAGCCATAGCATCTTCCTTAAGAGACATCCAGGTCTGAAACCCTGATGGCATTGCCACAGTACAGACACAGCCTCTCCTTTCTGCTGACTACTATTCTTTAGTCAGGGTTTTTTTTGAGGAATGAAAAAGAGGGAGGAAAAAAGGAGGAGTGTGCATGTGTGAATAAAAAGTGAGAAAGATATATCTATCTATCTATGTGTGTGTGTGTGTGTGTGTGTCTTTCTGCGTGTATATATATACACATATTTAAATGAGCACAGAAAGGCTCAGTGCCAGATTTAGTTACATTTTGGTTTACTAAGGAGATCTCTGCTGGGTTCAGCAGCTTCCCTGCCTTTATAGGAACATATTTCCTGTCTAGCAATGGGCAAATTCTATTTGTTTGCTAATGGCAGCGATGCCAGTGGTTTCTACATGGGATTTAAATATCTGGTTATGGCTGACAAATTCAGTTTTGGGGCTGAAGTTATATAACATGAGTGTTTAGCACATAAAATTTCAACTTTTCTTTAATGCAAATATAAAACCCAAGCTTCAGAGCAAGGAGTTAACTAGACTCAGAGTTTGGGATTTTTGAAATCCTCACAACAAAATTACATAAAAATATATAGCATTGATCTAACAGAGGCCTGAAGAATCAGAAAACCTCTGCTGAACAGAGATACACGTTGTTTTGGTTTTTTTTAAACTATTTCATCTGCAAGAACATTTGAGCTAGCTCCCTGCTAGGGCCCTTACACTTCTTCCAATCCAGCGTGTGAGGAGATAGCTTGGCAGTGGGAAAGGAACACAGGAATTTTCTCTGGCTTTCACCAGATGTGGCTACACACATGCTTTGTTCTCTCAATTTTTTTAATCCCATGACAAAAATCTTGTCACCATCAATACAAGGACTGAGGAGACAGGTCATAAGAAATTGCACCAAGATGCTTCCACATGTTATTTTTAGCCTTGTCTGTCATCTTAGAGAGCTGCGTGTCAGAGACAAGCACACTACAGAGGACAGAGGTAGCTCTTTAAATAAACTCTCCTGCAAAGACTGGAACAGGCTGTAATCTTGTATCAGGCAGCACCATTTTCTCTTCTCATCAAAAAGAAGTTTGTGTGGGAAAAAAAAACAGAACAGGGACTCCAAGAGTCTTCTGGGGTCTGTATGAAGGCAAAGCTTGCAATGGGGAGGACTAACTTGCATCACGTTAGCAGGACACCATCCCAAAGGGCTCAGCAGTCAAGTCCAGGACTACTGGAAAATTAAGACCTCTTTCAGTACCAAGGAAGGATGAAAGCTCAAGGCTCTGACTTTCCTTCTGCTCCCAGGATAGGAGTTCCCAAGCTCCACTGCAGCAGAGTGCAGACAGCTCTTGGCTTTCCTTGGGGTACCTGGAAGTTCTCCATTGCTGGAGCAGGTTAGTGCCCTCAGCATGGACAGTGGGCAAACTACTCAAATGTCCCAAGTTCTCAGGCCCTCATGGAAGCTTACCATATTTTTGCAAGCCACCTTATCCCCTGCTGAAGCACAGGGAGTTTGCTTCTCATCAAGCTGCATGGCCCATTATTCCCAAAGCATCTGCTCCATGCAGGCCCCCAGCTACTTCAGAACTACCCTACGGTCACCCTACAGCTACCAACAGGTCTTCCTCACCCTCTGTGTCCCAGAAGGAAACAATTTCACTCTCCCCCAAAGCCTTGCTTGTAAACAGCAACAACAGCAAGACCTACCTAAACCAGAAGTATGTGGATTGGAAGATTTTTGGAGAATCATGTAGGAATGATTTTTGTTTAAGAAAAAGTCCAAAGGGACACATATCCCTGAAAAAGACACCTGTAATAGAAATAACCAAATATACCTCATAATCCAGAAAAGGTAGTCAAGCAAGCTGCAGGAGAGCCACAACCCTTTGCTGTTTTATATGTCAGGGAGTACCAAGAAAAGCAGAGCTGCCTACATGTATTTATCTGGAGTCTACAACTTCTTAAGTGTGAGATTTTAACCCTACATAATGCAAAGGGAGACAGTATAATGCACTGAAGGAAGCTGTGATGGCCAGTGTAGAGAGATATCAAAATAAGCAGGTCAAATTCTAGAGAGGATCAGTAAAGAAGTTACTAATAGGAGACAAATCCATGTGACATTTTTATGGAGCTGCCTGTAAAAGGATGCCTTCTTGAGAGGAATATGAAGCTTCTGTTACAAGCAGTCCTCACAGCTATATGACAGGAATACATATCACAAAAGCTGAAGTGTTAGGAACAGCTTTTTCGTCTGATACTTACCCTCTCTTTGTAGTAAAAGGAGCTAATGGAGACCTGCTCCTTCTCGCTGCGTGTCGGACTCCCACTGTACAAACGCAGATTGCCTGGAGTCTCCGTGCGGATCTTCATTGGAGTAATGAGGCCACTGTGGTATGCTGATAAAGCTGACAGGGACCTGGAAACAACAGAATACACTTTCAGGAGCTTCCACACACCAAATTTCCCCAGAGGCTCACACCACCACCTCCACTAATCCAAGCTGCTAGCCACATTTCAGGTGTTGAAGAAAGGGATCTCTGCTGAGGGCCAGTGATGTCAGGGACCAGCCTCTCTGCATCGAGGGCACAGCTAACACAAGAGGTCAGCACTTTCTGAGGGGCAATAGCGCCAGTGTAGGGTATGATATTCTCCTGCTTTCCTGCCCGTGACAGCTGCATGCCTCAAATGCGACACAGGGTACTCACCTGGGTGTGGGCTCCGTCGGGGACACTGCACGGTGCATGGTCATGGGTCTTGTGAAATATACCAGGTACCCTGAAGAGACAGGACATGGCATAAAGATCCTGCAAGGAGTAGAAGACTACCCAGAGAAACCTGATCGTTTAAGGCACAGTCAAGGGGCTGGGTGCCTATCCACTACCCTGAGCATTTTAACACAAGTAGACAATCTCATTTTCTCTACCTAAATGTACTCCCTGCAAACCCATTAAAGAGCATGCTTTGTTGAGATGACTGTCTTAAAAGCACCAACTCAAGTGGCTTGCAGATGTTAGAGAAAAGACAGTAAAAGAAAATGAGCAAATACATACTCATGTTTTAACTCTTCACCAGAACTTGTCAAGTGCTTTGATACTCCCAGAGGCAAGTGAGGTGACATTTAGCTATGCAGAGAAACCACTGCAGCTTGTATGACTCTTCAAAAGGATAACCCAAGCCATCTGAAGCCAACTCCAAAGCACTCTCTCACAAGCCTTACCCCATTTTTACAGCATCTCAAGTGTCTTCAGCCACCCACTCTTGCAAGAGGTTCAGGACTTAGCAAGGTTTCACCAAGCCTATTCAATGCAATACTACTCTGCTTTACTTTTGCTGGGAATTCAATGAGGTCTGCATGAAAAGCAGCTTTCTTTCAAAACATGCAGTCAGGTCTGAAGGAGGCATGCTTGCATCTGAAACAGCTCAGTGGAACTTAACAGCTTGTACTCAGACCTTAAGCTGTTTGTTAAGGATGATCTTTGTACTGTACACTCTCCTGGAAACCTGGACAGGGAGAAGTTTCCCAGTGACCCTGGGAAAGCTATTTTGGGCAACAGAAAAGGTGCAGAATGAGAAAATTGTGGATAGTAACAAGAATATGGCTTCAGCAAGGGGTATGTTCAACCTAAACCACAGTAATTTTGTGAAGACAGAGAGCCAGAATGTGTCCAGCAGTTTGATGCTGGTAGGAGAGAACTAGGCAAGGAAAATAGCTGTTCCCAGTCTTCTGTAAAAGGTCTGTCAATGCATCTGGCATGCCACAAGCCAAAGGGCTTCAACTAGTCCTCAATTTCCAAACCCTAAAATCCCACATGCAACACCAACTGCAAACCGTTGCTAAGTACTCATTATCTATAAATTTATCACAGCATCACTACTTTTGATACCATATCTTACCCACTGCATGGCAGTGACCAAAGCCTCATCCTGTTCAGAGGCAAGTGTTCTCCAAAATATTAAAAGGACCATTCCCCAGGTAGCCATTGTAACATATGAGCGATGGGGCTAACCTGCACCACAGAACCTGGCTCCAGAGGTCCGTGGAAAAGGGATGTTAGAGTCCTGGTAGGAGCCATAGGCATTGGAGACCCGGGCGAACGTGGGCAAGGGGGGTGTTACGGAGTTTGACAAAGCGTAGGGATTGCTGGACGTGCTGTCCTCTTGGTTCTGAAACAGAAGTTACCCAAGGTCACGCTCCTGCTGCCACAGGAAGGGAACCCAGCTGGAGCACTGGGCATCACTGTGCCAAGCAGCCTCATGGAAGGTGCTTGTCCTTTGAGCCAAAGCAGATCAAGCACAGAGCACAGTTACTGCTCTGGCTGCAAAGGCACTTGCAAGCACATTTATCACTGAGGAAAGGGCTCCTCTGGCTGCTTGTCCAGAGATTTCTCTCCCACCACAGCCATGATGAAATACTAAGCTTAACTTGGGGTGAAATGGTGGGAAACTATACAGAAAATCTGACCTTCAGACTCTGGATGTGACTCTCAACACAGGGAGCGGAGCTAAACCTGATATCTCAATGATGTAAATGAGACCAAGCCACCTTAAATACCATGCAACTGTGAGGGGTCAAATGCAGGCTGAGAGTCTTGAAATGAGGAAGGCAGGTAGTGTGCAATACTGGGAGACCTCAGGTCTATCCATAGGAATTTTTAAAGAAATTTGCATTTATTTGGATAAAGAGTTCTACGACTTAGGTTTATAGGAATTCTTCAAAGGCAGCATTGCCTGGCTTGAGTCATCAGATTTCCATACAATGGAGAATGTTCCCACTCTTACATTACTGCTGAAACCAAACAGAATTAAGACTTTCCATGTAAAAAAAGCCATTTATTTGTGATGAATAAACAAAGACTCTTGGAAAAGAAACCTGAGGAGACTCTCCAATCTTTTCCTGTATGCTAAAAACATCCACTCTGGTACACTTCACCCACACACAGACCTAATACCTGGCACTGGGATGCTGAGTAGGTATCACAGATCTCTCAGCTGAGGGCAGAGTGTGATTTAGATATATCTGCAGTATCCTCCCTAGAAAACCTCAGCACAAGGCCTCAGAAAAAACAGACTTTTACAGGTTTGGGTTGGTTTTTTTTTTTTAAGTGAAGAAAACAAAAATCCTAGAATAGGACTAACAGGATCTTTGACTAGAACTGAGGAGGTAAAGATATCTGTCACTGCCTTTCTGACAAGAATGAATCCATCAGCTCCCTGAGGCCTCTCATCTTCTCTCACAGACGATAACATGCCCTGGAACTTGGTGAGATATACTCAGAGCTGGGAAGTTACCATGCACCACTAAGATACTCCAAACCCCAGTCATTCCTGCTAACCTGAGTATCAGTGAGCATGCAGAGCTCCCCAAAGCGGCAAGCCTTCAGGGCCTTATTTTTAGAAACAAAATGCATCTAATCATCTGCTCAGTTTTCTTCAACATTAACCAGAAGTGCTTACACCAATGTAATGCCAGGCACAGGGGTCTATTTACACATTTAATGAGGGCGGACTCTCACTGCAGAGTCAGAAGCGTGGGACGTGGGAGAAAACAACAAACTAGGGCAGAAAGCCCACGCAGTTCTCCATACCACAACAGACTCCAGCCAGGAGACCAGCTGACGCAGGCAGGGCTCCAGGCAGCTCTGGTTCCGCTTCACTTTCTGCAGAGAAGTGTCTTTCAATATCTGGAATACATACAAGACATAGCTTGAATCACGGTTACACCCAACACCTTCCCCACATCCTTTTTTGCCTGCAGAGCAGCTGCCAGGATCCAGAGAGGCCAAAGACATCCCATAATATCCACTGGAGCCACACTGACCCACTGGTATGCTGTCTGCTTTGAGGAACAGCTCTGAGCTTTGATCAGAGCACCTAGATTCGGCACACTCTGAGCCAGGATTTGGGCTGCTCTACTGCTGTAGCCCATACATTCCATACCAGTTTCTGGCAAACTGGATCAGTTTTTTTTCAGGAAGGAACCCAAATTAATCCATCAACCTGCTCCCGGGGAAGGGATTTCATCAGCAATAGGACTTCCTACACCAGATGATCAAACACCCAGTCTGGAATGAGCAAGGCCTGTGTAAAACGTCTCCTCATTTTTAAAACAGTTTGTGGAGGAGAGCAGGAAGCAACATCCCAGCTCACAGACAGTATCTTTCTGCAGCTGGATGCTAGCTGGTCATTTTGTCTATTATGGGGTTGGGGGCAACTGCACGAGGAGTAGGATGTTAGGGATCCTCAGGCAATACACATCACACCAGAATAGTGAAGAACACATTTAAAAAGCACCAGTGTAGAAAGACAAATACTAGGCTGCAAGGTCAACAAAAATCTCACCCTAGGAGCTCCACAATGTATCAGTTCAAAGTGACCTGTGGTATGCCTTCAGCGAGGTCAGATGTTTTATTGCGTCAGTAATCCAGACATCAAGTGTCCAGCACCTGTATATTTATAAAGACAGTGTATACTCCCCACACACCTTCAGCAGCTTTGCTTTCATGGAGGCAGTGATTGAGGTTGGGTTGATGAACTGGAAGGACGGTGCAGCATTATTGGGGTACTGGACAGGGAACATCACCAGCATCCTGACTCTGTGGTTGCCGCAGTGCACTGACACCGTACAGCTACGGCTCACCGCATCCATCTGTGAGGAAAAGCAATTGCTCTGTAGTTACATTCCCAAGGACTTCTAAACTTACAGTGGCTCAAATTCACGCTGAGGGGCTGATTCCTCCACACACTCATAAGAGGAAGGCACGCTGTTCTCAAGGGCAGCGAACACAGCGACAGCAGAAAACCCCAGGCAGATGGGGACAGACTTGGCTTGTGCCAGCAGACTGTCAGGCCAGCATTCCAGCATCTAGACCACAGCCAGCCCAGGTAGTGCCAGGAATCAGCCACTGCACCCCAGCCCACTTCACCAGGCTGTGGAGAGCTCCAGACCCACTGCAGCAGTAACAAGCACCACCTATAAGATCATATACCACTGTCTCAGAAAAAACATTCATGCCATGAGCTGTGAAACCACACGAGTGGGGAAAGGAGGCAGCTGCCTCAAGCCTCCCATCCCATCCCAGCACTGTGCCTCCAGCCAGCTTCCACGCACAGAGGAGGGTTTGGCGTACAAGGGAGATAGTGCAGGGTAGGGAGAGGCCAGCAGATTGGGTTCAGAAACAGCTGAAATGAGATCAGCTGCATGTAGTGGAACAAGTCACTTTCCACTCCACAGTCTAGGCAGAGAGGAAAACACCATCCAGCCTTCTCAGGACCAGCCAGGGTACTCACTGTGCTGAGACACTTCCATCACTCCCAGTGTCTGGGATTATCCTCCTTTCCTCTACCCCTGGCCAAGAGGATCTCTACAGCTCAAAATAAACCTTGTTTACAGACTGTAGCCAAGAAGGTTCCCCTCTAAAGGCTCTGATGAGCCAGCCTGCTCACATCCCCCTCCTTAACAAGCCAGTAAAAGGAAACTCTCTACCTCGACATTGACATTTCGGATCTGCACGTTGATCAGTGAAAACTCCTGCTGCAGTGTTTGAGGCAGCCCCAGTTGGTCTGTTTTCTTTCCCACCAGGGGGTCATTCAGGAAATCTTCTTTTAAGGCTGACAGGAAAGATGGAGAACAGATTGAGACAAGCTATACTGCACAGAATTCTGGCAGGTGATGCCAGGAGGCAGTCAAGACAGCAAGCTTTCCTCTGCTCTTCTGATACATGGAGGTATGAGTCTTACCTGGCAAAGACCTGCGAGCTGGAGGGTCTCAGCTCTTGTTTAGAGGCAGGCTTCTGAGCCTTGCTCTTCAAAAAAACAAACCTGTCTACACACAGGTTTCCCAGGAAGGTTACAGAAGCTGCCTGTACTCTGTACAGCCCTAAATGGTCTGTCTCTACTCATTTGAGACCCCTTCTCCTTCCTACACAGTACTGCCAGATCACCAACAGCTGAACTGGAGCCTCTTGGTTCAGCAGGAAAGAACTGCTGCCAGAGCAGTCTCCAGGAGGAGCTCTGATCTTTGGGACTCACACCCTACTGCTCTTGACTTTCAGGGAATGCTTCCAAAGCATAATAAGGCTTTGGGAGAGAGAAGAGGGTATTTCTGGCCCTAGTAGAAACTAAATCAATTTGTAGCAGACATTTTCATTTAATGTTGCAAAGCACTCCACTGCTTTAACAGTCTTTGAAGACTCCTAAATGCTGGTTCTAAATGTCCAGTTCCAACAGTTTTCAGGAGGAAAATAACCCCTGAAGGCCAGAATACATTTAAACAGCCAGGCAAGCACTGTAGGACATGAGGAATCATGGTTAAGATAGCAAACTTGACTGAGTTTTAGAAGAATTGGCCTCTGCCCATGTTTGTGCCTGGCTTTTGCCTCGTACTTTGTTATGTATCCCCATTAGGGCAGGGGCAGCTCCTTCTGAAAGGTGTTTTGCTGTAGCACCACTTCCTAAGATGACCAACTGTATTTTTGATGATGGTTCCAAGTACACAAGGGAAATCCCAATTATTCAGTTGTCATTCTCATGATTGAAATATCACATGGCACAGACTATTCTTAGCAAGAAAATAAATTGCAAGAAATGCAAAAAGTTATTCTTTTACGGGCATTTGCCTAAAAGTTACTGACTTTGCTGTTGGGACAAATTTATCTGGTTTTACTGCTGCCTAGTGGGTTGCTGAATTTGGGTAAATAGGATGCTTAGCTGCTCATTCCCAATTGCGATTTTATTATAGTGCCGAGATATACTTCACAAAAGGGAGCTGAAAAGGGGATTAAAAGAAGATCAGTGGCTCTCAGGGAAGATAATTTCTAGCTCAAGACACCGCACAGCTTACTGAAAAGCCATCTCTGAAGTTCCCAATATGGGCAGCACCCTCCCTTTGTCTTCTCCTCCCATTCCCTTCTGATTAGTTTTTAATCCCCCAAAGCCCACATATTTGTCTAGATTCCTAAAGATCCTTTACAGGCAGCAGCCAGTGAGGAGAGCTGTACACTGAAGACACAGCTGGTGGGCTTTCTGATTTATCTTCTGAGCACTGTTCTCTTCAAAGATCCCCCAAAGTGCTTTACTAATATAACATGGAGACTTTGTCTGCAGCTGAAATGCAGCCACCTCCAGGGTGAAACACAATAGCTTTTAGGCTAGAGAGGACTGAAATTCATACCTAGAGACTTGCCTGTGCATTAATCCTGCAGTCATGGTATTTGCAGCAAAATCTACCCTGCTACAGGAAAGCCATTTTCATCCCCTTTGACTGCAAGGGAAACCCTACCAGTCTGAACCAAGGCCACACTCACACAGAAACCACATAGGACATATGAACGTGACCTCATCAGGGACAGTGAGAGAGTTAACTTTCTCCTGTGGAAAAAAGAGAGGTCAGGCAGCCAGAATGAGAACACTTAATGCTCTCAGCTGGAGCAAGAGAGGCCATGCTTCCCCACACAGTACTGCTCATGGTGAGCACATGTAGCCAGGGCTTTTTCTACCATATTATAAAACTCTCATGTAGATGGAGGTGCTGATGACTTTTAGAAACTTTCTCTGCTGCCACACAGGACAGGTGGCAGAGAGGAACTTCACTGCGATTTGCTGGGCAGGAAACTTCCAGTTAGGAAGAGATGCTTTTCCTAAGGGACCTCACAGCTGTCTCCTTTATTCAAAGGACAGATATTAGACCACTTCTTCCCCCTCTCTCCAGTTTGTTGGCAAGTCAAAGGGCAAATCAAATCACTTTCCTGTAAGGCCTTCACATGGGGATCCATTGTGGCACCCTGCTACAATACAGAAAGGAACTGTGAGTTTAAACCCAAGCTGAGACAAAGGCATGGGAGCTCCCAATTCTTCTTCCACAGGTTTACATACAGAAATCTCTTTAGACAGCTTTTTCACATGCAAATCATTGCCACGGGTCTCAGCTGCTGCAATCTCTTCTATTCTGGTACGTACACTCTTCAAACACTAACACCCTGAATGTTTAACCCTGCCAGAGCCTTAACCACCCAAACCCTCCTTTGCATTCCTTCCTTGATGCCTTCTCTTCCATAAAGCTAAATCAATGCTTTCTGCTAAAGCCTCTGACCTATTCCCATCCATCCATCTGTATTCAGAAGTCGAAGACACCATCCCTCCCCTTCTGCTCTGCCAGCCACCTCTCATTAATATGTGAGCAAAAATCCACTTGCTCTTTCCACACGACTTCTGGTGGATGGGAGAACACACCAGCAAACATCTCCATGTTCAATCAGTTCACACACTGATCCCAGCAGAAGTGTTTAGATACCAGGTGTGATGCAAGCAGCTTGTGTCAGAGTGCCTTACCATATGCTCCCCTCTTTCGTGGGCTCATCTCCCAGCTTAAACTAATCTACCTTCTTAAGGGCCAGAACTTACTTTCTGATTGCCTTATTTTTGGCAGCAAGCCACAACTATGACCTAAAGAGAATGTAATTAAATTATATTAGTGACAAGGAAGAGCTTTGTTTTACAGCTAGAATCACTGTGTTAGAGGAGAAAAAACTTGGGAAGGACCATCCTGAGAAACCTCTAGCGTTTTCCCTCCTTCCAGATGGGGAATTCATTAACCTTTGAAACAGCACCAGTTTGGACTATGCCTACAAAGTTATTTTCTTATGCCAAGATGCATGTTCTTCCCAACACAGACAGCTGTGTCTGAAGTTCCACGGCCCATCGCTTGTCTCACCTTCCTCATCCCCATGTCCAGAATTATGCTGGGGCTCTGAATCCTGGGGATGAAGGGTCTTGTCTGGCTCTGGCAGATGAGAAATCCCATCGATGAGGTCCTCAACTCCATCCAGGATATCATTAGCACAAAGCTGAAAAAAAGAAACACACCTACATACTGCACAACAGAAACCAGACTGTGGAAGGAGCCACCACTAAACAACTCATTTCTTCAGGGAGCTGAATTTGCAGCATAGGTCTGTCCACACAGCAGTCATGACTAAGACCTCGGCGTTGCTTCTGTGACAAAGACAGCCAATCTTCCACTTTCCAGCATCCTCTGCTCTCTTGCCTCAGACACCCTGGCCAAGTCTCCCACTCACAAAGCCACTTCATTGACAGGGCCAGTCTAAATAACAGATGTTTTACTTTAATCAAAACTAAAGCTGATATTACTTTAATTCCTTAATTTGTCAAAACCAGTTCAATTTTTTAGATCAGGTGTAATAGTAGCACACTTTCTGCTTTTGATATTTACACTCCAGTAAGATCCAGAGACCCAGGAACAGCCTAGGGGCCCTTGTGTTCTAGGTCCTGCATCAAAAAGAGACGATGAAAACTTGTATTTTAAGTTCAGCACAAGAAAACAGGGAAGATGAAGAGAAGAAACATAGAGAGGAGAAAGGATAATGGCACAGTGTAGCAAATTACAGCATTGGTCACCAGCAACATGCCATTGTGTGTGGTTTGATCCAGACAAAGACAAGGACAAAAGAGTGGGAGCCAGCAGAGGAAGAGTAAAGGCTCTGACATGGATGGACAATTGATTTAAAGACAGAAATGAAATCAAATATTCACAATTATATCAGATAGGAGTAAAGGGTCATTTTTCACAGAAAAATTTTGTTACAGACCTACAGGACTCCTGCAGGATCTGTGCTGGGACACATTCTTCTCAACTTACTCATTAAAAACCTGGAACAGCAGGTGAATAGCAACATGACCAGATTTGCTGATGCCAAGTTTTCTGGGGTAGTAAAGAGAGTGGCTGACTGCAATCAACCACAGAAGGACCTTACAGATATAACTGTATTATCAATAAAATGAAAGATGAACTTCAGGTCAGGTAAATATAAAGAAACGCACATAAAGGAAAAAACAGCAAGTTCAAGCTGACTGAGGGAATAAGATGTAGAGGCCAGACTAATCTGATGTTTTCATGGAATTATGCCCCACAATTTTGAAAACAAACCAAGTACTGAGGATTCTTTGGAAAGAACAAAGTTCAGATCCCCATCCCAAAAAGTATGTAGTAGAACTAAAAAAAACTGTCATGAAAGGCAAAAGGACAACCAAAGTTCTTGTAGAAAGGATGAAGTAAATCAAGATCTTTTGATCTGAAAAAGGAGGCAGCTGAGGAGGCCTACAGAATCATCAGTAGCACAAAAAGATGGCTGCTCATTTAATCTTCAATGTAGTGAAACTAGCAGGTTGCAAAATAAACAAATGAAAGGAGCTGGGTTTTCACACAACATGTGGAAAAGCCACGAAACTCCTTGATAGGATGTTTAAGATGACAAAACTTTGCACAGATCCAGGAAAAAACAGAATAAGTCTATGGAAGTGAAACTCATCAAGCTCTGTCAAATACAAAGATGGCAGACTCACTGAGCCTCTAAGCTGTGAACTGCAGGAGGCTGGCAGGGCACGTGAGAGAAACATCACTGCGTACTTGCCTCATTCTTATCCCCTTCCAAGATACCCACAGCTGAAAATGAGACAAGACAATATGGGCCATCGTGGCCATAGGAACCTCCAGTCTGACCCAGCACAGCTGTTCTAGTAATTGCACCAGCAATTTGTAACTGCTGCCAGACAGTGGAACAACAGGATTCACACTGCCTGCACCAGGCTAAGAGGCAGTGGAAGCAAGGGGAGGAAGTGGAAGGCACCTTCCCCAAAAGAATTCTATATTTACAGTTATACAACAGAGTGGCCTTGCACTTCCACAGAAGGTTTTGAGGCACAGACACGGAGAGGCGTCATCACAGGTCTTCTTGGGGATGTTTCTGGGCTGGTGTGGAAGAGGAAAGTGAAGTGGCAGCTGGCTGCTGTGTCTGCAGCTCTAGGACATCAGAGGAGGGACTGGGAGTGAGAAGCAAGGGAGGTGAATCCAGCCTGTAAGAAAACCGTCTACAGTTCAAGAGCAAAAGTGTTTACATACCCTCTGCAGCTGAGAGTCAATCCGCCACATCCGCAGGGTCTGATCACGGGACCACGTAACCAGCTGGTAGTCTTTAGAACCTAAAAAGGACAAAAACAACTTATAGACCCAGCTGTAAACAGAGACTCAGTCCTGTGTTTTGTGTAAACAGATTCAGACAAGCCAGCAGGGAGATCCAATGGATAAGGCACTAAACTGAAAGGCAGAGAGTCCTCTTCTGCTTCAAACTGACCTAGGTACATCAGGATTTACACCTCCCTGAACCACGGTTACCACACCTCTAAATGGGGCATAATTTCCAGGCGAGAAAGCACAAAGTATAATGAATGTGGTGCAAGTCTTCCAAGTAGAAGTGAACAAGATCTACTACCATACTTATTTAACAGAAGAAATAATATAGTTGAGAAACAGATTTATTTTTACGATAAACTTAGAGTCAAATATCTTTTAGCTCATCATATCTGTTTCAAGATGCGGATGTTTCAAAACATTTCTAAGCTAAGAGAAGTTGGTTCTGCCCTCCCCCTTTTTCCTTCTGAAAGACTTGGATGATGTCAAGACAAGTTCAGGTTGTAATGAAATACATCTAGCCACATACTATCTATTAACAGATAACAGTACACAGACATTTATGCCCACATTTAGGCCTTGTGATACAGTTTAAGTTTCCCTTGTCAAACAGCTGCTCCACTTAAGAATATGCTGCTGCACAGCTGCTTCCTACACCCCTCTGCTGAGGCACAGGGGCTGTCTAAATACAGCACAGTAGACTCTGTGGAAGGAGATTTGTGCTATCTTGGTTGTCTCTGCATTGAAGCAGACTTGGAATGCTTGTATGATTGATTTACATTGCTCAAGACAAGCACAACTTCCAGCCTCACATATTAACTTAGCTAAGACAACACAACTGTGGTTCAAGTCTGCTTGAATGTTCATTTACAGGCTGTCTTAGACTGCATCTCCAGATCCTAACATGGTTCTATATCACTCTCCTCTTTTTGAGAGGAAAAGCAAGGTAGAGAAAAAAAGTGACTTCACTGAATTACCCCAGCAGCTGGTGGCACAGGGTTGGACCAGAACTTTTACATGGCACCGCAAAGCCATACCACAAATGACACCAAAGCCAGACGTGCTTGTTCTGTCGATGGCAGCTGAGGTGCTGGAAACAAAGCTGGCTGTGTGGTCATCCAGCCTCTAATATGGAATCTCCTATATTTAGTTGCCTACACTGGAAAATTTAGTCAGGACTGAACTCCAACAGCACCCTCTCTATCCCATGCTCTTCCTCCCCTGTTTTTGTCAGCACACAGATAAGGTGGGTTCACTGGGTCTGTGGTCTGGGACTGCTGGTCCAGGCAGTGGTGTGAGGGGTTAACTGGTTAGCCTGCAGCTCTGAGCAGGAGCAGGGTGCCTGCACTCATGCACCCATCTAATAGTTTGCACAATTTATTTGAAAGATCCATTTAAAAATAGACTCACAGGACAGTGGAAGCAATTAAGAGTCACCACTGACCCACTCAGCATTTGCTTTGTTAGCATGGACACAACAGGGCTTATGTGGGCACTGCCATAAAGCAAGTATAAAACAGCTGTAGCTTGGGAGGCAGGGGCAGGAAAGTGGGTAGGAGCTACTCCAAGGAAAGACAAGAGTCAAAGGGTGATAGCATAAGCATTGCAGCCAGGAGTCAGGCCTCCACACCCCTCGTTAGTCAATGGCCGCAGGACAGGGGAAAGAGCACACCCAGCCCTGAACTCACCTTCTTTCTGCTTTCTCCACTGAAACTCCAGCACCACATCATCATGTCCCACGAAAGTGTGAACAGGCGTGTTCAAGTCAAAGACATTCCAGAGAAGGAGACTGTTCTCCCGACGGAGTTGGGGGACCATCACTGTCACCAGTCCATTGCTGAAAGGCTTGAGGGAGAAACACCCTTCCTGTTAGCCTTGCAGAGTTACGGTCCCATGCTGCTGTTATCATACTCTAATTTTTCCCTTTTCCCACCAACAAGAATGCATGGGTTTTAAAAGAGCTCAGCACAAAACAGAACCAGGCCTAAGGGTCCAAGGCAACTGCTGTGCAAAAACACTGTCTTACAAGGGATAAGATATAGTACACTGAGATATTCAATGCAGCTCACTTAAGATTAGTAGTTTCTTTCTGCTGCTGCCTCACTTTTCAGCTGGGAGGCTGGAGGGATTTCACCACTGACTTTTCACATAGGATCCTTACTGCAATTTGCCTGGAGCTGCGAGAAATGCTACATGGGGACTGAGCCCCAGCAGCTGCTTGGGGTCATAACACTCAGAGGAACACTGGAACCCAGTCCTACATTCCCCACCACGGGGACAGGGGAAGGGGATCAAACATTCAAGGCACAGCACTGGCTTCAGGCCACATTCAGATGTCTGGGAAAGAGAACGGATATGGCTGATGTTAAGAGCCTTTGCTAAACATGGCTGGGTGCTTGCTCTGTAAAAGGCAACAGTTCTTGGATTTGATATGCTGTAAGTGCCCACGGTGGCACACTTGGAAACCTTGCGAGTAGACGAAGCACTCAGAGTAGGAAGACAGCTGCTGCACTGCTCTGTGCAACAGGTAGCTGAGTGGAAAAACAGGACAGCGAGAGCAGCAGTCACTTTCTGAGCCTTCTGGTCCCAGAGCCAACCACCTGCCCCTGGATTTTCACCCCACAGGATGATGCCCAAGACTGGGATCTCTCACTGCTCATCATTCCTCCTCCTGAATGCCCCTCACTGTGGATATTCCTTTTCTAGGCCTTTTAAGCACCAAGAGGGATTTTTAAAATCAACTTAATAATGTCCAGCAGTAGAACTGGTGAGAAGTCCTTCAGCAGTTCTTTATTTAACGTCCCTTTGTGCATTTGCTCTCACAGCACAAGTGAGGCTGGTGGGAGTTTCTCACTCACTGTGTATCTTGCTTTCCAGACGGGAACCTGGCAGGGAAGGATATTGAGGTATTTCCGAGGCTGACGGTAATCCCAGAACTTCAAAAAAACCAAAAAAGACAAGCAAAGGCAGGAGTCAGCTGGCTGTACTTTCAGGCTGCATTTTTCCATGTGGCTTGCAGATATAACAGAGTGAAAAACATGCCAGGGTGCCCACAGCATCATTGGTAATCCCATTCATTAGTAGCAGAGATGGCCCCCAAAGGACAAATATCAAGCTATCAGCATCTGGCAGCATTCCTCAGACAACAAGCGACTTGGGGTCATATTCACAGTGATCATAGCTTGAGTAATTAGAGCAGGGAGACAGGAAGCCTGCTTGGGCTTTCAGAGCTACAAGGTACCCTGCAGGCTCCCAGCCAATGTGCCAGTCCAGACTGGAGGCAGGCCCACCGTGCTGTTACTGCTAATTTCATAATGAAGAATCTAACCTTTTGCTTTGCTAGAATACACATCACTTGCATTTGCCTCAGAGCTTAGCTAAATGTGTATGAGCTCCATCTGGCTCACATACAAAGCACGCTATTTCCTCCCAGGTAAAAGGCCCTGCATAGCAATGCTTGCAGGCAGGCTCTTACTGATAAGAGTTTGGGAACCCCAGGAGCTGGACTATGTATCCCCCCAGGTTGCTGTAATCAGCCCGAGACTGGCAACACTGCATTTTGGGGAGCAGGCTCTTATGGCATGTGCGGCCAGCTCCCTTCTGGCAAGCAACAAGCAGAGGCGGTTGTTTTCAGCTTCAGTACTGCCCAAACCACCACAGATATGTGGTAAACATATGTGCACCCATCCTGCAATGATTTCTCTGCCTGTTCTGTAAGTGCACCCCTGGCTCAACACAGGCTGCCAGAAACCAAAAAATAAGGATCCAGGCCTTGCTAATGGCAAGCACTCCCCAAGACTTCGGCATCAGTAGAAGGGGACCTGCTCCACCATCCTGACATCTCCCAAGCAGAAGTCCCAGAAGCGACACTTACCCTGACAGAGTTGTCCTGGCTGGAAGTGGCCAGTGTATACTCATTGTCAGGATGCCAATCCAGACCGTGGATTTTAGAGAGATGAGCTGCCAAGTACTCTACTGCAGTGCTGGGTTTCTGCAAGGAGAGACATTTTCCTTCTCAGCACAGGACTTCTGAAATTTGGTCTAGTTCTATGGCATAAAAAGGGACACTTTAACAAGGGCAAGGGCTCCAGCTGGGGAAAGGCAAATAGCTCAGCAAAAGTAGTTGAAGAAAAGGTCCTGTGAAGGTGTGGCAAATTCCAGTCATCAAGTGCAGCCCTGAACAATACTTTATACTCAATAAAACAGTGAAGTAATATGAGAGCTAAATATTTGTGGGCAGTTTCTGGGGAAGGCAGCTATCTACCTGCTCTCTTCAGGCTCGTGGGCTCCCAGTTCCCTCTAGTTTAAATCAACCCACAAGAGAGATTTGGGATAAAGTAGTAGATTCTTCTCAGTATTTATCTGTGACCAGGCAGATGTCTGTATTGGGTAGGTGGGAATATGCCCCAACTGCTCAAAAAACCCCTCAGCTTACCCTTTTGTCCCATATTCGGACATCCCCGTCATGGCTTGTTGCTAAACAGTTGGCATTTTTCTTGTTCCATTTCACCTGGGAAGCTCCAGCTGCAGCAGAAATAGAGCAGGTCAAAACAAGTAATTAAAAAGTAAATGGCACAGCAGACCCCTGACCTGGGCTTTGAACTCCTTAGCACAGGAAAGGCAGTTCAGAGGACAGATATCCCACGTCAGCATGAAGGATGGCATGAAAAGGATTAACTCCTCATTCCTCAGAATAGTGTTTGTGTCCTCAGGATCACACAGCAAGACTGTTCCACTTACATGCCTAGAGACCTGCATCACAATTTCTAGCGATGGGTTGTACCCAATTATATAACTCGTGTCCATTAGCTCAGATGGAGCAACTTCCTCCCGACAAAACTGCAGGTTCATCACCTTCCTCTGAAATCCCTTCTGTTTTCACTCTAGCTGCTTAAAGATTGATTCATTTGTCTCCCCAACACCCTCTATACGATCTGATGCTATACAGGGAACCAGTGTTATTGAGCTATTATTAAAATATAAGTGTAGAAGGCTGCAGTGCAGGAGGACCTTGTGCCTGGCCAGCTAGAGGTAGACTCACTGGGTGGACCAGAAGGCCCACCTGTCAAAATACACCACAGAAGTCAAAAGACATAAATGGCATTGTAAATAAACTGGATGATGGTCCAGGTATGATTATATATGATATCACAAGAGATTCAGTCAAGTGCCTAAAATCAGAAAATGGGTGGCTATGTCTAATAAGAAGCAAAACACAGCTCTGGTTGATATGGCTTGTTCAGATACTGTAAGAGAAATACACATTTTGTTCATCCTGCTCACGTTCAGAATAACTGGCAGTATTTTCAAAACATTTTAAGCTATCAGGAAGGTGATGTCCATGAGAAAGCTAAACAGATACCAGCCTGCTACTACGTCCCACCTTCACTACCCACCTCCTGCTGCACAGTGAACAGATTCATCATGGCAACCCAGCAAAAAGCTAGTCCAGGGGAAAAAAAGCTGCAAACAGGTTGCCAGTTGATTGAGTCGATTCATTCACTGAAGGGTGCACAAACATCTGGATCAGCACTAAACAGAATCGGGCACAGGAGGAAGGAAGCTTTCTGGGGAGCTAGTTGCTAGGCTGGCTCAGCTGACCTGTGAAACCTCACCCCTGGCACCAGAACAAAACGCTGCTTCTTTCTGCTTCAGTTAAGGTTTTTGCATGGCTGTGATGGAGAGGTTTGCTGGCTGGGAGGGAAGGGGAAGCCACTGAAGATGTGTAGCCTAAGGAGATCTAAGCAGCAGAGCATAAGAGTTATGTGCTACGAGAATTGCTGTAATACTGGGGACAGTTAGTCAGGAAAAGGACGTTTTGCTCATCATCCATACTTTGCCCAGTTCCAACAGGCAGCTGGGGAGGACTGACACACAGCAGCACCTGCCAGCAGGCACTATTACAAGCAGCTGGACAGTCACGCTGCCAACAGCCATGACAAGTGTCTTTCCAGAGCAAGTGTGGTCCAAAGAGAGCACCTTGGTGTCACCACTGCGGCTCCCTGCACACTGAAGGCACCCCAGGGAAGCAGAGGCAGGCAGGTAATGTACCCAGCCCCTCAGTAAATAAGGGGGCAGGCTGGCAGGCGGCAGCAGGCAACACCGCTGCCTGGTGTGAGATTTAGGTTCTCAGCTGATTTAGTCAAATGTAAAAAAGGACACGGAGAAATTGCAGACAAGGCAACACAGCACAAACAGGGCAGCACAGTGGATAAGCAGGGAAGGAGCCATGTCTAAAAGGCACAAATGACTGTCCACCAATTTCAGGACAGTCAGTCCAAGTACCAGCATTGCCCTCCATGCCTGGGAATCTCCAAGGGCTCCACATCCCCTCTGAACTCTGCAAAACGAGCTGTGAACTAGAGCCTCTTGGGCTCGTACACGGGACAATCACTTCTGTACTCTGCCATGTTTATCCTTGGAGCATGAAGGGAGGAAGAAATACCAGCAGGGACATATGACACTAAATGTAGGCATTAAACAAGCCTATATCACACACACGCCATACTTACCAACTGCAGAGAGGGAGACTGTAGGCTTCCTAGTGTCTCTGAAACACAAGAAGGCTAATGTGAGCGCCCATGGCATAGCCCAGCAGGTCCAGACACCTCAGTGATCTCCCTGCTATTCCAGGACTAATTTTATTGCTGCCTCTTGGGAGCTAACGTGCCTTCTTGCTAACCAAATACACCATCTTAAACGGAAGAAAGAAAGAGGTGACCAGCTGGAGGACAACAGCCATGTTGTCTTGCCACCACATACAGCAGTAAGTTTAGGATAGAGTGGAGTTGGAGGGGCCTAGAAGGACAAACACATGCCAAGTGTGGCATGCTGCAACTGGGCAGGCAAGGCAACTGGGTTTACAAAGTGTTGCTGCAGGAAGCAACAAAACAGCTTTTCCTAGGATGATTAAAAGGAACAAACAGAGCTGTGCAAAAACTTGACAAAAGCCACTGATGTGTTTGTCAAGCCTCTGCAGACCCTGATTCAAGGCAGATGGAGCAGTGACTTCACAGCAAAGACTTCATGTCTAGCATATAACACCAAAATTAGTAGGAAATAAGCCCAGACTACATTCTGCAGTAGCAGAAGCCAGTGTGGCACCATGACAACTCCTGGCAGCCAGGACATGGATCAAGGCAATTAATTCACTCCTTAACCTTGTTCTTCAGGAATTCACCTGCCCTTTCATGAAAAATGCCAGTGAAAATCAGGAATATTGTCTTCAGCTTTCTGTGTTTGCTGAAAAGCAGAACATTTTCTGTAATGGACTGCACCTCTCCCTTGAAGAATTTCTGCCTAATCAAAAAGTTATTTTGCATGAAAATTTAAGTGGGGAATTTCCAGCTGCCCTTACTGCAGGGCTACCTCCCTAGGGTGTCATTAGAGACAGGTGCTTCAGCAGGATGTTCATTTGCTGGAGGCCAACAGCCCCAGGACCTCACTGCTCCAGCAAGCTCAGAGACTTTACCAGCACAAGTGGGATGTAGAGGCTAGTCAGAAACTGCCTAAGCAAGCACTTCTGGAGAAGTGATACATGCAGACACAAAATGATGGAAGGGCACAGAGTTAAAGCAGGGCTTCTGACAACAACCTTCAGAGAACTCTAGTTTTTGCTCAGTGCTAAGATAGTATCGCAGGAAAATGCAACCAGCAGTTATTGTCTCTCTATGTCTTTTAATTACACATTAATAATATATTGCCATTCTCAAGCACCATTTAACCAAGGATCTAAGTGCTCCATAGGAGCTAAACAAGCCTTAGGGTAGCCTGGTGCAGTGGGGTTATGTAATTATCCTCCTATTATAACTGAGCAAGGGAGGCAGAGAGGAACAAACTGACTTGCCGGGGGTCATAAAGAGTTGCTGTACAGCCAACAAGAGAACTCAGCAGCCCCTGTGCCAGCTCCTTGCTTCTCAGGTGTAAAATACAGGGTTTTAATATTGGTGGTTTTGGAAAGATCCGTTACCCTGAAATTACTAGTGACGGAAAGCACCAGGAAGCAAGGGAAAGCACAAACAGGAAAAGGTTCCTGAACACCACTACCAGTCTTTCCACTGAGAGAGAGTCAGCACCAATCACTGAATTTAGTGGAAAATGGCTGCAGGATCACAAAATGGTGCTCATTCACTCAGCTAAAAAACCCAAGAGGCTGAGGATTGTCCTTGGGTTCCAGGAAAAGCTCTTGAGGAAATTTGTGAAATGAGTAGTGAGTGAAACCAGTCAGTATTTTTTTCCAATCAGGAATGCAACTGTGGCTTAGCCATACCACTCTACTGTCCTTCATGGACTCTGAACTGGCTTGAAAATGGAGAACAGAAGCTATCTTTGAGATTAGAGGAAGCAGATAAAGCCCCTGCAAGCACAGCTGAAGAGCAGCACCCATCAGTGCATGCTTTGTCATGCAAGCTGCTAAATTATGGAAGGGGTCCAGTGATTCCCCTGCAGTGCAGAAACATACTGATTCTTACTTGATGTCCCAGATGTAGATGTATGTGTCCACAGAACTGGTGACCAGCAGGTCTGGCTCAAACACTGCCCAGTCCAAGTCACTGCAAATGCAAAATCATAGCGGGTCAGTGAAAAGCACGTCAGTGAAAAGCACGTGCAGTTTGCATCAACTTCTCGCAAGCCCTCAGTACATTTCTCCAACAAATTCATGGCCACTCTATGACATCTACTGAAACTCCTTAAGTAAAAAGCAAGATCTTAATCATTTCTCTAAGTAAATTCCAAGAAGCAATGAATTGCTTCTAAGTAAATTCCAGTGAAGCATCCTCCTAGCCCTGAACTTTACAGCTATTGTGTGTGCGCTCTCTCCACTACAGTAAAAGGGACACTTGTCTCAGCAAGCTCTCAGTCACCCTGCATTCTTGGCATCAACCCTTCACTCTGGGATGCCTTCCCATTGGGCTCACCAGGTGCACCTGTGCCACAAACAGCCTCCAGTCAGTCATTTCAAGGGTTGCGATTACTTTCCATATTCAGGAGCTGTAGTAAAAACAGTTCTTCACTTGTATTTCCAGCCCAGCACTAAAATACACTCCTAGAACCAGAGGCAGAAATCTCCCCTGCACCACCATAACACACTGTGAACTTGATCTTTGGGATTACCTGCTTTAATTAAGCTGCTATCACAAACACACACGGCTGGAATTCAATTTAACAAACATGCTGCTGTTTCCCAGATGACAGTTGCTGTTCAGTACAAGCACAGCAGCCTAAGGCAATGACAATCTGAGCCATCAAAGGCTAATTTGATATACGGGGGGGAGCCACAAGAGGGTGAGCTGCTTCACATCTGATGTCATCTCCAAATGGGAAGGCAGGGCAGAGGGGCAGACAGTATGGCCCAGAAAAGTAAGCAAAAATAGGCTCAGAGCAGAGCCTGAGTGGGGCCAGGATCAAAACATTCAGCTTTTAGGAAACAAGCCATTGTTTTCCACCCAGTAGTGCGCAGCATCACTTCTTCCTCACCTGATCACACGCGTGTGTCCTTGCAGTGATGTGCAAACTTCACCATTACCTTCCTTCCATTTATACAGGTCAACTCGCTGATTGCTCTGAAATTAGATAGAAGAAAGGAGACAGTGTCAGGCAAACAAGGTAGGACAGGAATACGTGTGTGAGGACCAGGTTCCCTTCACTGTGAACAACCTCAGTTACCAATGAGTCACACTGTGATTAGCAAAGTCCTTGCCCAAAGCAGGAGAGCAACGATGAACCTACGGGCTGCAAGGACTGTCAAAAAGCTTACACTTTAATTACACCCACTTAAAATCAGAGATAAACAAGAATGGGAGGAAAAAAGGCATATTGCAAAATGTTTCCATGAAATTATGTTCTTGGAGACTTTATTTCCTAACAACATGCTGTAACTGCAGGCAAAAGGCAGCCAAATTCTCTCTGCAGGAATACCCTGCCAGTCTGTTCAGATTCACAACTGGAGTTTTCAGTGAGGGGGATGATGGATCACCACTGGTCCTCCTCAACTCTCCCTTGATTCCCTTCTGGGATAATCAGGCCCATTGCCAAACACAAACAATACAGTCTAATGGTGTCAAGGTCACCTCTTCAAGGGTACTTCCATCCTTGCCAGCCCAGGAGAAAAGTCTTAAGTGCTTATCACTAACTGTAAACCACAGGAGCAAAGCAGATGAATCAATGACAACATTATTTAGGGCTTCTTCACTCATTCCAGGAATAAATCCTCCCCCAAATGCAGCCACACACAAAGTTACTTGAAACTAGTTATTGTGCTTTAAGTTCACGTTCTGCCTTAATCAAGGTTCACTTCAGCCCAGGCCAACTCTAATCTTTCTGGGCAGGAATTGCCTTTTTGGGTGCATATACAGCATTGAGCACAGTGGGTCTTGGGCCATGAATGGAAATTCACGTTGATTTTGCAAAAACAGAACTAAAATTACTTCAAAATTTTATTTCATTAGCCTCTTGTTTTCAAACTTACAGGTAGATGAGGGAAAAGATAATACTTATTTTACAGGTTTTATGACAGGTTATTGTGGTGGTGTTTTTGTTTGGTTGTTTTTTTCTATCCCAAAGCTGCTTCATAAGAATTTAAACTTTCAGACAAGATAAAACACTCCAGCCTTCCCTGAAATGGAAGGTCTCCTCCCAGCTCAGCAATAATATATGCCATTTCTCCAATAGCTCACAGCAGGGCTGCACAAGAGCTCGGGGCAAGGAAAACTCTTTGCATGTTTCTCATTGACAAAAATATTTAAGGGGGTAAATTAGCCAGTGGGATTTGTCCAGGACTCCAAAGTTGATGCTACAAGATAAGGATCACCAGAAGTTTCTCAGACTCTTTATGGGGCATCTCACATGGAAAGTGTTGCCCAGGTGTGGGAGAACGACAGCTCCTCCCAGCACAATCTTCAAAAAAACCATGCTGCTTGTGATAAGTATATGCTTCCAACAGTTTCATTGCCCTCTTGTTCAAGCATTTGTGGCCACACAAAAGTAGTAACAAGGATCTAGGACGGAAAACAATGGCATTTCTGAAACAACAGCTTAGGAGTCCTCAGAAATATGCCTCAGCCAGAGGGCAGACACAGCCAAGCACAGCAAGAGGACGTGTTTCAGCTCTTCTGGAAAGAGGCTAAAAAAATAAGAAGCCCTTAACCAAACACAAGGACAGACTTGCCCTCTGCCTGCACCACTTCGGATAACTGGCACTTCAAACCAGGTGAAGCTGCTGGCAAACAGGATGGCAGCATTTTACACTCCCATTGCATCCACCAGGATGCAGAGGGACAGGACCCTCAGGGATGCCTACAACACTTGCGTGGTATACCTGAACGAATGACGACCTCAGCAGTCGACTTACAGGGTTCTGACAACCAGCTTGAGTCCAGAAGTAGCAAATCTCATCTTCACAGTGCTGAATACAAGCTGACTGAGCCTTCTCAATGCATCTTTACCCCCTTAGGTATCACCCTCAAATACATTCACACCACCTCCAGACCTGACCTGGGACACACAGATCTGAGCACACCCACTTCCAAAAAAACGACAAATTAAACTGTAGTCTGTCATGGTTTGAGCTCAGAGGGCAACTGAGCACCATGCAGCTGCTCATTCCCTCCTTGCCCCTCAGGACTGGGAAGGAGAAAATAAAGCAAAAGGCTCAGGAATCAAGATAAGGACAGAGAAAGGATGACTCACCCGTTATGGTCACGGGCAAAAGACAGACTCATTAGGGGAAGAAAAAGAACATCAATTTAATTCAAACACCACCGCTACCAACACTTAACAGAGTAGGACAGTGAGAAGTATAACCACATCTCAAAAACACCTTCCCCCCACCCCTCCCTTCTTCCTGGGCTCAGCTTTGCTCCCCATTTCTCTACCTCCTCCCCACAGTGGAACAGGGGATGAGGTTATGGTCAGTCCTGCTGCTTCTTTCTCCTCAGTGGGGGGCAGGGGAGAAGAGATCACACACAGACTTCTCGCATACTTCCCCGGCACCAGCATGATTCCCCTCTCACAGGAGACGGTCATTCACAAACTTTCTCTGACATGAGTCCTTCCCACAGGCTGCAGCTCTTCCTGAGCTGTTCCAGCATGGGTCCCCCCATGTGTTGCAATCCTCCCAGCACTGAACTACAACAGTGGGGGCTTCTTCCCACAGGGTTCCAGCCTTCCTCAGGCACAGCCACCTGCTCCAGCGTGGGCCCCCCATGGGCCCCCAGTTGGCATCTGCTCCACTGTAAACCACCGTGGGTGGCAGGGGGGCGAGAGTGGGATACTCTGCACTGGTGCACCTCCTCCACTTCTCCTCCTTCCTTCCACTAACCTCAGTGTTTGCACAGATGTTCTCCTCACAACTCCAACTCCTCCTCCCAGGTTCCCCTTCTTAAATAGGTAATCATAAAGGCACAGTCACCGTCACCAATTGGCTCAGCCTTGGCCAGAGGCAGGTCCAACTTGGAGCCAGGGAGGGGCTTCGCAAAGCTTCTCACAGGGGCCACCACTGTAGCCCCCTCCTCTGCTACCAAGCCCCCCCCACCACTCATTCAAACGCAGCACATACTCCTAGGACAGGGCTGTAATGCAAAATGCCAGCTAACTGTGAGATGGCTGGAAAAGAGGTGTTTCTGACTCAAACTGGAAACATTGCCTGATTTCATCTTGGGGATTCCTCACTTGATGTGCACTAGCAACTATGTCTAAATCACCAGAGCATCTCAGCATCTTAATTTATAAACAAGAACAGCGAGGTTTGGTGTCACCTACACCTAGTTTCTGCCTGGAACAAGACAGCTTCCTGTGTCTGCTCAGGGCAGCGAGACACAGGAGTGCTCAGATGGGTAAGATGGGCACAGCTTCCTGTTGCAGCAGGGTCCTGCTCAGATCAGCATTAAATGACCGACTGGATATTGCCTTTAGAATGTGTCTGAAAAGAAGTTTGCTTGCCCTACTCACAGCCTACACAGCCTGTTTCTTACTTGGTTTTGATTTTCACAGACTGTATCCAGAAGGGGTGCTGAAGGACACCCTTTTGCAAGTTTTACTAACTCTCTACTCAGAAGCAGACTGCCACTGAAGGCACCTTTGAGATGTCAGTCATGTGCCAGAGCTGTGATGAGACAGGCTGGGGAAAGTCACAGAACAAAGAAGCAAAGGCTCCCAACTGATGACACTGGTCCACTTTTAAGACTGCCTTTAATTGTAGCCATTCCAGGAAGCAAAAGTAACAAAAATCCTAGGAAAGCACCTTCAGCTAAGTGTTTTCTCAAAAAAACAGATGAAATATCTCTACCCCCAGCTATTCCAGGACTCTCAGGCTATAAAAGCAGATGCAACACTGCAACACAGGCACCTCACCATGAGAGCAGTCTGCACCCAGCTAGTGCTGGCCACTGCAGCGCTGTGGTTGATGGCTAAGACTGTCACTAGCAGAAGCTCAGGGCTCTGGGAGATCAAGCTACAGAGCATGATAGACTGAATAAAAATCAGAGTCAAAAACTGCACTCAAGGCTCGGATGGCCACTACTGCTTCTTCAGACCAGCCTATTTACTTCTCCACACACTGAATAAGGATTCCTTGCTGACTCAGTCCCTGCCCACCTGCAAACCAAGACTGCTACAGCAGTGAGCCAGTATTGACTCGTCCTATTTACAGACTGCCTGGTGCACCGTGTCCCACCAGGAGGGCAGGGAGCTGAAAACAAAGCAGCACAGAGCAAGAAATTCAATAAGTGCACAAATCTCATAACAGAATGGAAGAAAAGAGCATATCCCCAATTCCTTCCAGAAAAGGACCATTTGGATGCCCGACTTATTTGGCAGGGTGTTTTAATAAAAGACAAGCAAGCAAAACTAGATTCAACACTGACCAACCAATAACTGAGAGCCGTCAAGCCAAATAGCTCACTGGCAGTAAATCAGAGGTAGGCCTTGATCTTGCAATGTGATTTGCAGAAGTGTGCCTGTGCCAGCTCCGTACAACCTTCCAAGCCTGCTGAAGTCCACCCATCAAAGACCAGGGAAGATGATGAGTTACAGCTTTTAAATGAGTTAACTTACCGAAGCTGCAAAGTAGTACGCGTAGCTGTCGTGTGGGTTCCACTGCACTGCCCCAATGTCCCACTTGCTCTGCCGGGAGATCTTTCGATGACCCTCATTTGGTGCATCCAGGTTGACTATGTAGAGGAAACGGCGGCTGCAAGACAGACACAAAGGGGCTGTAATGCACAGGACTAAACTCAAAACCCCAAGCTCACAAGGAGCTCACAGCCTTGTGCTGAGAGGAGCAAAGAACAGAAGCATTTGACAAGACAGATGAAAATATTATTCCTGAGAATGGCACATTTGACCACATACTTCAAAGAAGGGCTATGTTTTAAAAAACAAAACACTGAAATTAGACAGGATCTGCAAACGTAATGGGTAGTTCAGACCACAGAAAACCCCAGATAACTAGGATACAAAAGGAAGCACTGGGAAATGGTGCAGACATCCAAATACACTTTGCTGGCCTAATGCTGCAGTAGCAGAGCCGAGGTGGCTCAGGGCTGTGAGTGCAACGCAATAGCTTCACGAGAGCCAGCTTCAGTCTGGAGAGGTTGCTCTGAGCAAGAGTTAATGAGCCCTGACAAACATAAGATGGTTCTATGTGGCTGCATCTTTCCACACCATGCTCTTTGGGGGGCTTGGTTCCACAGACAGCACAAGTACAGCTGCACAGAGCTAGCTCAGCTGCAGCAGCTCATTAACGTGGGTGGACACAGCCCTGCACAGATCCGGTTATGCTACTTACCTGAGCTAACCCCAAATGCAGCAGAGACATATTTGCATGATGCTAAACCTGAGCTCATGCATCCTGCTGGATGTGGTCAACTCCCCACAAAGCTAGGCAAGGTATCATTCCCTCCACAGTGTGATTCATCTTACAAGCAGATAAACCACACAGAAATAACTGTGAGCCAGCTGAACTCTAATGGAAGACCAGTACCAAAACATATTGAACCATATATAATTAACCACACCAGCATCACATGTCAGCTGTGTAACAAGCATACAGCTGCTCTGAGCACTGCGAATTTTCCCAAGAGAAGAAACATAAAGAACATCTTTGCTATGTTTCCAGACCAAAGTCCTCAGGGCTTCCTACTGAAGAGTGAAGATGCCAAGCCTTTGGAGGCTCTCACACAGCTTTAAAAGAAAGAAGGCAAACCCTGAAGGGCTGATGAGTCTGCAGGAGAAGCCTGAAAAGCAGAGGGCCACAAACTCGATGCTGAATGGCAGACAGGTTGTCCCCAGCCTGCTGTTGGCCCAAATAAGCAAGCTGTGAAACTGCAGTGTAAGGAGGAAGAGGCATTAAGTTAGACCCAAACCAGCTGCTGAGCTAGTTATTCCTGTGCAGGGCTGCTGGGTTAAGGGTTTACATTAAAGCTGGCAGGCCTCTGAGTTGTATCAAAGGATCCTGGGTGTTCTGGCAGCTTGGAGTCTAGGGCACCTACTGCTGTTGTTGAGCATCATCCTGCACTGAAGCAGCACAGGAGCAGGTCAGAGAGCTTGGCTCCCCTGTCCAAGTATACCATAGGAATATTTGGGGCAAATTTTGTCTTAAGGAAATAATTAAATCTGTAATTCAAGTAGAATCCAAACAGTACTTCATGATGCTCCACCTCCCACAAGTGGATTTGGGAAAGCATGTATAAGGAAAGTCACCACAGTATTTTATTGTGCCGCTGTTGCTGGCTTTCCACTCTGTATCCCATTGGAAATGTGACCCAGAATCCTTTTCATCAAGCCTTCAACGGAATTCAGCTGTACCTTTCTGAAACAATACATGAGCACTTCAATTGAGGTCAGCTTGAAGGTTGCTGATTTGGCTCGTGGGAATGACTGTCATACGTTTCTAATGGGGACTGTTACACTCACCCTGAGAGTACTGCACGCTGTCCCAGGCAATCCACCGACATCGCCGTCGCCTGTTAACAAGAAAGAGAGAACAAAGCTAAATTATACCTGCCAGGTCAGCTTCTCAGTCAAACACACAGTTTTGGGGAGGAGTTCAGGAAAACCTGCCAGCTCATCTTCAAGGAATAAACTGCTATGATAAAGAGTCAAGGCTGATTTCTGTCAGGGATGGCAGAAGTAACATCCCCTTGAAGAAGCACAGATGGGTGACAGGGTATAGAAGTTGATTTTGGGATGCAGGATAGTGCACAGAAAACATCTTTCTTGGAGTAAACTGAAGACAAGACCTAGCAGACACCATTACAGGCACTGAGACCTTGCTCCCTTCTCCCTGCTATGGCAATCACAGTTGCAGCCTTTCAGTCAGCAATTTCTAATAATCCGTATTAATCAGCCTCTTCTCCTGCTCAGGAGCTTTCTCATTGCAGGGCCAGATTTAATTATATGTGTACAGGGAGATAGAAGTGTAACCATTTGTGTATGGCTGGTCTCCAAAAATGAGATGGCTAAGAGGCATCAGAATTTACTTTGGCAATGCTTGTAAAGAAGGCTAAGAGGTAACTTAAATGCCATAAGAAGACAAAAGAAAGAAGACTGTTTGAACATTGTCTCCCCCTCTTTTCATTCAGAATGGAATTGGCTGATCATTCCATGTAACTGCCAAGACAATAAAGCTGAAGAGTTCGACCCATAAACATAAATACGACTTCAATGCAGTTTTTAGCATTCAGAGTACAAAATCAGAATATGCCCCATATTCTTCAAACTAACTGCTGTCATCTTCAAAGCTACCTCTCTGAAGGCTCAGGATGTCTCTACTGCTGTTTAGGATCCTGCTCAGCACAGATGTAACAACTTCAGGATGTCCCACAGCTACTACTTATAAGCATCACCAAACCCAGACAGACAATATGGCAATGCCACTCCATTTCAGTCAAATTTGACAGGAGAATAACTATCACAAAACCCTAATTTTTTCAACCAAGGGCCCATCCACTGCTTGGAAGTACCCCAGCTAAGGGAAAACCAGCATCACAGTCTCATTCTTCACTAGAGACCAAAAGTCCACATGGCAAAGAGCTATGCCTGCTTTGTAGCCAGGCCTACATCTATACCCCAACAAAGCCGAGCTTCACCACTTTTGCTGTTCCAGGAACAATCCACTTTCATTGCTTTTTCCTAGGTAGCAAATACTGTCTTCTGTCAAGGTCTTCCTGGTACTAAAACTAATGCTGTAAATAAGAAGCTAGTTTTAAAATCTCTAAACTGTGAAGAAATAACTTTAGCTTCCTAGATTTCACAGTACCTTGTGAAACAACAAAATAGGTTACTAAATTTGTAAAAAAAGCAAGCAGGAAAGACATTTTCCCAGAAGACACACATTTCACACCTGAGGAATTAGTGAGGATCAATAAAGCTATTATCAGAACCAGAACTTTCTCATGTGTCAAAGAGCTAGTCAGCTGACATATCTCATACAGCTTTGGCCATCTTTACTCAAGACAGAAAAAAACCTGTAAATTTAAAGTGATTGATAATTTCATTTATGAGTTTATTTTTTCTGGTGTTGGCACCAGGATCTCATACAAATTGAATAATGAACATGGGTAAACTGTTTTTCCAGGCACCAAACATCATAAAATGAAATTAAATGTAATGAATGAACTAAAAAGCTTCACATGTCAGGCTGCTACTCTGGCGGATCACAAATAAGTTGTTTTATGGCAATAAACAGTTCTCTGCAACTCTACAGTCTTATCTATGCAACACGAAAAAAACCAAACAGCTGACATTTAATGTGCTTGGTGTACTGATATGTCAGTCTTCACAGCACAACCTTCCGGAAGGAGGGAGTTGAAACAAGCCTGAAAGCAGTTTTTATCCTAAAACATCAGGATAGCTAGAGTTGCTGTTTATGAGTAACAATTACGTGAATAAGCATGGTGGGAACACCGCATACTTGAAAACCAGCTCTGAGCCCACAGCTCAGGCAGCATCTTCTCATACTTCAAACATCTGCTTTGGCATTTCACTTGATTTCTGCTAGGCAAGCCAAGGAAAACACCTTTTCATGTCTGAACTTCCATCAGTTTTGAACTCAGCTTCATTCCCTTCACCCAAAAGGCAAAAGACAAACTCAATTTGCCAAGGCTATACTGGTTTTTAAGAGCTGCAAACTCTCAGCAAGAAATACCAGTTCTCTGCGTATCCGACTTCCCATCTACACGCTGAGTTGCTACAAATGGTACTACTTCACCATTGGACACGGTGAGCTTTAATTTCCTTTTGATAGCATGGACAGCCTGACAAGAGCCTGCAGGTCACATCTAAATCAGAAGAGGGCTGAGACTGCACCTCTGTCACTTGTACAGAAATACTGGCCCCAAACTACTCAGGGATTTTGTGAAGTGTTACAGGTTGGGTGCTGTAGTTTTCACACGACACACTCTGGCACAGTGAACAAAGACAACTGCAGTGCTCACAGACATGCATGGGCTATAAATGCAACAGCTGCCCATGCTTTCATCTCCATTTAAGTTGGTTTTGGGGTAGGGATTTTGGCAATAGTGTGGCCTACAGGCAGAGCTCAAGCCCAGTACAGGATGGTTACAGCCAAGCTGTTTCAATTTCTCAAGCTCAAGTTTCTCATCTGCAAAAACATTCATGCAGACTCATAAAAAAATGCTCAAGCCCAAATATATAACTGAGTTTAGCTTGAAGCAGTAGTCTAGCAGCCCCAGCCACTGAAGCTCTCTGATTTCATACAGGACAGCAGGCAGGTCTGAATGGCTCGAGAAGGATCAGACCAGAGTAAACCTAAACAATGAAAATACCAGTGGTTAACCTCTCTATAAAGGTATACGCCAGCACAAGAGCAAGATTGAAACCAACTGCTGCAGAAGAGGATGGAAACACCTGTTCTCTCCCCTCTCCACTCCCACACACCAATCATTATGAATAAGCAATCAAATCATGAGGCCACATATCTCCTGAGCCAGATGCAATCTGAATCTGTGATCTAAGAAGACATACCTTCAAAGCTCATTACCAGTTTCCCAAGAGCAAATCTTCACCAGCAGTCAAGACTGCTTTAACATTTACTCCAGGAGGAAAAAAAAACCAAAACCCTGATATAAAGCTTTTGGGGTATAAAAATTAAAAACTTTGTGAGCCTACAGAGGGTAGGGTGGATGTAGCACACGGGATTCAATACTCCTATTTGCAATGGTGAATGCAGAGCTGACATTGCTCCAGCACAAGAGGGTAAACTAGAAGATGAGTTTCCAGAAATATTTTCTTTTAATCTTCCTAGGTTTCCTGCTGAAACCCAGTTCACAGCTGACTCACCATATCCAGCTTTGCTAAGCGACTGTCAACGTCTTAAAAAACCAACTTTTTTAGAACAGCTTCTAAGAAAGCATGTAAGCAAACTCTGAGGGGAGTTCTGTAACCAGCAACTTCAAAAACAAAAACTAACATTTCTGCTATTTATATATAAAAAAATCTAACTCGCTTTTCCTAGTAATCGAGTAATAATAATTTATATCGCAGCTGAGAAAGTAGCTATAATAGTCTCAGAGGAAAAATTAAGAAAGATGCGTGGGAAGTGGTAATATCTTCTATTAGGCCTGCCAATATACTTTAAAAAAAAATCCAAGATCTAATTAAGATTATAAATAAAGTGCCTCGTGAATTCGGCATTATCTCCGCGCAAACAGCTCCGAGACCAGCGCAGCCCCGTCCACAGCCGGCGAAAGGCCCCGCGGGGCC